GTCTTATATAGAACCTTCATACCCCGCGTATGGTCCGAGTATAGAGTAGTATAAGCCTCCCTTATACTTCCTCATACTCCCTAGTCACATGATCTTCTGTAAGGAAGAAATCCTTGGATCGCCTAGCTACCCTAAGCGATCCCCATTTGCTATAAGAAATCTGAATGTGCCTGTCGAGGGTTGCGCCTTTTATTATGACAAGTATCACGTGAACACGTGATTCGTGACAACTTAGACCTAGGATTAAATAAGCTTATACTAGATTCGAATAACTCTTAGACTAACCTTTTAAATAAGAATAACTTATAAATAAAAAGCGCTAGTAATAGTTCCTTCTTCTTTCCTTTCCTAGATTTTAAAGGCTTAAGAAAAAGCTTAAATAATAGTAACTTCTCCTTTCGAGAAATAAGAAAGAAGATATATACTATAGCTTTCGGCTTATATAATATCTCGAGATCCTCCTGTAACGAATACTCAAACTGGCTAACTAAACTTGGCTGGGTGTTCGCTGGTTGGTATGCTATGATAAGAAGAAGACTATCGGGTTGTTCACTTGGAAGTGAACTCGTTACTTGTATCAAAGATGTCAAACTAATATGATAAGATTGATAACTAAGTTGAGCACGAAGCTCCTATCTAATGGCAGACGTGCCAGTCTTATATAGAACCTTCATGTTCCTGTGCTAGCTTGCTAGCCCAGTCGCCCCGTCGCTGCAAGACCGCGCGACCGGTCGCCCTGTCTAGCACAACTAGTCACGTGATACGAATGGAATGAAATCCCTGGATCGCTTAGCTAGTCTAAGCATCCCTATTTGCTATAAGAGATATGATAGTGCTCGACCTGTCAGGACACCGCCTGGTCTTCACTCATCACATGCTTACACGTGATTCGTGACACCTCCCCCCTTGTTATCCCTTCGAAATCCTAGCCCTTAATTGTACTAAAGGTATTAATTAGTATAGGTTGTATACTAGTTATAATAATACTAAATTTAACTATTTATCCTATAAACTCCTTTCTTAATAAGTTACTATAGACCTTATTATATTCCTAGTATATATCTAATAAATTAACTAATTATTATAAGAACTTATTAATTCACGCCTTAGTTCTAAGTAGCTTAAATTTAGAAAACTAGTATATTACTATTATATCTAAAAACGTTACCTTTCGAAGAGATTACTTATATAATATAATATAGAGAGGATAACAAAATTGAGGCTTCTTTTTATAATATAGATTAGGTTTATAGTTATTAGTACTTATATATTTCTCTCTCTCTCTTATTCTTCTTTCTAGCTTTAGCTTTTAACTTTATTATTTCACTAGTATAGTTTCTAAAGCCGGTACTTATAGTATCTTAACTATTATTAGTATAATAATCTACTTTCTTTAAATCGTTAGTAAGGTTATATATTTAGATATTCTCGGAGATTAGCTCTAGCTTAGTTCGAATATAAGGTTTAATAAGCTTTTTATACCTAGTAAGAGAAGAAGTAGTAGCCTAGGTACTAAGAGTATTTTCGTTAAGTATTTTCTTTATTTTATAGTTTAAATAAAAGATACCTTCGATAAGCTTTCTATATTTAATATAAAAAGGTATTTTAATAAGAGTAATAGAATAATAGTAATAGTTATAAATATTTAGGAATTACGAATTTAAAGTAGTAGAAAGTAGTAGAGGGTATAAATAAAGATTCTAGGGTATATATATAGTATAGAGATAAAGGGAGTTTAATATTACTATTCCTATAACTATAATACTACGAATAATCTAATATTTATAAAATTAGTATACGCGAATAGCCTTATATTTATATTTACCTATCACTACTATATGTAGTTGTAATAGTTTGTTATTTCGTAGATACATCGATTTTAGTAGTAGTCGTACGTAAAAACAATGTTTTCGCGAAAAGTCGATTTTCCATTTTGGCGGGGAGTGTCACTAACGGCCACCTTACTAACTCCACATCCCAGGTTCTACTCCACTTGCTGACACCGAATTACTGCAACAATCGTCGAGCTCCCCTTTGAGAAACGGCATATGCAGCGGTACATATTGCTCCCCCTGATGCGCGGTGATAGACACGGGTATGCGGTGGAAAGGAGGAAGCGAGTGCATCGAGAGGTCCAAACGGATGAGCTTTGAGATATTTTGGTAATGGAACGGTTTCATCGTTTGGGTTTGTGAGGAGTAAGTTGTTCTCGTCGACATAGAGATTGTTTTTGTACGCGGGAATCCGACTCCGCAATGTCCTAGCCAAAGAACATCCCAGGAGTTTGGCTCTCCGTAAGGGGATCTGTTTTGATCATGTGAAGTTATCTCCGAGAGTGGAAGTGAGTAAAGAGTCGAGGAGATGTTATTTGAAGAGATGTTATCAGAAACACTCTCCTCGGTCTCTGTATTCTTCGTCGCGTCCAAGTGGTATATTGCAAGTCCAGTTTTTTAGATGTTAATACTTGGGAAGCGAATGCGAAACTTTGCAGTTGTGATCGAACCCGAATATCCCAATCAACATCATCTTCAAATATCATTGCTGTGCTGATGTTTTTATGAACAATTCTACAACGCAGGCTTGATCAGTGGTTGCTCTAATACCGGGAAGCACTATTCTCACTCTTGCAAATCGTTGATGTGACTGCGCCAGCTCCCTCTGACTCCTTTCGAAAGCTTGACATTTTCTTCACTGCCTTCGGGTGGCAATACGTTATCTGGGACGCTGTCGCCACCAACACCCTCAATGAAGTCGATGTGGAAATTTCTGACAGCGGCAGCGAGGGAGACTGCATCACGACGATCTGTTCTGGATGGCAAATTTATGACGAAAAGTTTTTGGAACTAGAAGTGATTAGAAACTGTTGCTCTGTTCAAGAGGGAAGCGAGACGGAGGGTAAGAGAAAGCTTACTCCAAGTGTTGAATTCAGTATATCAGATATTGAAGTACGGTTCTGATGGACCTTTGGCTCTTTTCCAACAAGAGATGAAACATCGACCTCTTTCCAGGACAAACCAAATCTCAGAATCACATATAGAAGTACAATAATAAGCAGTGGGGCTCCCATAAAAAAGACTCGAGCAGGAAAGCTCCAGCCATGGTGCGACATTCTAAGGAGGTATATCACCCAAGTGGTACCTTGCTATTGAGCTTTGTCTCTACCATTTGACACATTTGAGCTTTTGAAGATGGATTTCGAATAGATGTCTGATCCACAAGATTTTTTTTGCGTGATTCTTTTGAGTTTAAGAGGTTCCCGTAATATACTGCGTTGATCCGTTACAGGTAGATTGTTGCAAATGCGGGGAGGCTAAATTGGGTAATATAAATCAATCTACAACTTCTACCAGACGACACTCATGAGTGTGGGGAAATTTATCCTTCAGTTGGCTGCAAATCAGAGTTTTTGGTAGTCAGGTACTATACGACGCATATACTAGGTAGATCTCGAGGTGGATCTCAGGAAAGTTTAGCCCCACGTAGACAGTCAAAGTTACCAAACTCTTTTGTTAAAGAAAGACTAACAAAGACAGTGGTACGAAACGATCCCAGGGTGAAATTGGTTCAAGCAAGATTTGTATGCTTTCAAATTATTGTAAATTAGCTTATATATCTAAACGTTGTCGTCGCGATGGGCTTAAACAAAAAGTCCCGCTTTTTTCCACCACGTGTCTTCTTGATGGGGCGTTCGACCATGCCAAATTCTGTTGTTACAGAATCCAGACCAAATAATGTTTAGTTGAAGACAACAGTCTTCGTCCCGTTCATCAAAACCTTCTTCTCCGTAACCCATTTCAATGCCGTAACAAGAACTGTACTCTCCACATTGGCCCCCTCATTAGTCAACTCTGCCGGGCCCAACTGATGACCAACCCTCGTAACATTCTGCTCAATAATTGGACCCTCGTCCAAATCGCTCGTCACGAAATGAGCGGTTGCGCCAACAAGCTTGACACCACGATCATATGCCTGGTGATATGGTTTGGCACCTTTGAAAGCTGGTAAAAAGCTGTGATGAATGTTGATAATCTTCCCCGACATGGTAGCACAGAGCTCTTCGGAGAGAATTTGCATGTATCTTGCGAGAACGATGAGTTCAATGTTGTGTTCCTTGACTAAAGCAAGGATTTTGGCTTCCTGCTCTGTCTTCGTCGCTGCTGTGATGGGGAGATGATAAAATGGAATACCGTAAGATTCAGCAATGGGTCTGAAATCTTCGTGATTTGAGATTATCAGTGGAATCTCGATCTTAAGTTTATTTGAGGATGTGCGGCAAAGGATGTTACTGAGACAATGGCCGATTTTTGAAACCATAATAAGAACTCTGGTTTTGTGCGTGGTAGAGGTGAGTTGGAACTCCATATCCATGGTTTTGGCGACTGAGGAAAATGAATGTTCTAGGGGTACGACGTTTGTAGGAATTGATGCATCGATTTGTTGAAAGTGTACTCTCATGAAGAATCTTTTTTGTGTGCAGTCGCCATATTGTTGTGAGTCAACAATGTTGAGGTTTTGTTCGGTGAGCCAATGACTAACAGCGTGTACGACACCCGGCTTGTCTGGGCATGATAAAGTCAAGATGAATTCTGCGCCTGGCATTTTGATGGAGGGTTCGTATTGAATTCGTGATAGATTATTGTTGTTTTGAGGAATGGGTTTAATGACGGGGGCTTTTTAATACTCGAGCTAAGTGGTTCTGGAAAAAAATGTGATGGGAGTCCGTCGTATTTGTAGTGTGGCAGCCGGCAATAAAATGTGTATACGCGCAGCGGTATAATGTGTTCAAAATGCGTATTCCATACCCAATGCAGTTTACGTATCAAAGATACGGGGATCTTTACTCGTGAACGGGTAATTTCCACGTCTTGTCTTGACTATTAAGCAATTCTTGTGGGGTTGTGGGGTGTTCCCTTATGTTCCGAGTAGGTGGGTCGTTTGATATATCCAGGTACCCAAACGCCAATAATCACTGAGTCGTCAATGGACAAATGGGATTCCACCCTCTTTGTTGCGGCTCAGTCGCCCAGCCTTTCTGTCGCATCCTCAATATTGATCATCTCTGGGATAATCGCTCGGATCCTTCTCTCAGTCAATACTCGAAACATGAGATTTGAGACATACAGTAATCCTCGAAACAAAATCAACAAAAAATATTGGAGTTCTGACACTTGCAGTTGTTGTAGGCCCGGATACCTACTTTACAGTAGTTGAGTGCGTGGCTCTTGGACCTTGGTAATCCGGGCCGTACTGTATGAGATGGGATGACCCAAGAAACAAAGAAGCCTTGGGACGAGTCAAATCCTAGTTTGGGTGACAGCTTTCGCCTGCTAAGTAGGGTAGTTAGTCACTGGGCTCCTCTTATTCGAGAATGACTGCCGTAATAGCCACCAGATCTTAGCCTAGGCTTAAGCGGCGCTTAAAAAGGAGTTAAATATTGTCTCTGAGTCACGTGATTGGCTTTAAACAACCGGGGGGGCTACCTAGGTACCTATTTTATTCATTAACCCTGTGACTCTAAAAAAATAACAACAAACTAATGCTCCCCAAACCGCAAATGTTGCTCGTCTGAATTATCCAAGTCCATCTACTACAAGTCCATTTTTCTGAACTCGCCTCAGCCACCCAGAGTTAAACCCATTGCTAATTGTTGCGGTACGGTAACAACATTTTTGAGGTAGCCCAGATCTACAGCGGGAATAACTTCACCGGCCTGGAAGAACTCTCCCAAGCGATTGGCAACCCATATCGAATTTTCATCACCTACCCCAGAATCAGCTTGGATCGAAACATCAAACGCCATGAGGATTCACGACTCACAAATCCAGTGCCCAGCCTTGGGAACAACATCGTAGATAACGTTTGTACCCGCAATCCCCATACCTTGTTTCAACAGAGCGATATCTCCGAAACTGGCTTCGCCACCCATTACAAGCATCGGTATCGTCAAAGGGTTCGCGCCAAGTCTCGAAGTAAAGAATTCAGCATCTTGATATTGAGCGGCAAAATACTCAAATCCAGCTCTGAGGAAACCTGGCTTTGAAATTGCTGTCGCATACTTGTTTAGGCGATCTTCGGTGATGGCAGAGTTGCCCGTGTAGGATGCATGGTAAAAGTACCAAGACAACATCCTCTTCTCTCGATCCCTGATGAAATATTCTGCCACATCTGGTAGACTGAAGAAAGCCAATTGCCAATTTGACCGAAGAGTCCAAGAGTGGGAGGGTGTCGCAGCTGCTTCGTAAATGTCATACCCGTGCAAAGCGTATTCTATTATAGAAAGTCTTTTTACGAGTGATCTGTGATTTGCTGCTAGTGCTGTGACAATTCCGACTCCCTTATCATGCCCAACGACATAGGCTTCAGTGATATTAAGAAACTTGAGGACACCATAAAGATCCTCGCTAGCCGCGGATGCGGTATAGTTACCGGAGATAGCGAGAGAGGAATCACCGCAGCCTCGATTGTCTACTGCAATAACAGTGTAGTTCTGGGCGAGAATAGGACCAATTCTGTCCCACATTATCTAAGTATTGAGGAAGGTTAGTTTTAAATCAAGAACTCTGACCAAGAAATCATCAACATTACGGAAAGAAAAAGATTACCGAATGCTCAGGAAATCCATGAACAAGAAGCAACGGAGGCCCAGATCCCGCGTAGTGAAACAAAATAGAAGAGTCTTCAAGAGCAACTAGTTGATGATCCCATTCTTCCCATGGGATAAGAGCCGCAAGAGCCGATTGGACGAACCATAGGGCGGTAGCAGAACGAGAGTAGGATGGCATTGCAGAAAATTTGATGGGGTATTAACCTCTAGAATCTCTTCGAAGAACACTGGAGATTGAATGCAATAATACTTTACTTCCATGTCCCTCTTATATATCACCCATATAAATGGGGTGATGTATATTATACGGTCAGGAGATTATTAAGCACCCCGCAATGGCTTACTGTACCGTCTGTACGTACAGAATCGGATTTAATTGATTCCGAAAAATAATTGCTAAGGAGAATGTTGGACGGCGTGGGTAGATAAGATCCAGAAGTCCTTCGTCCTGTGCGTAAGATTGCGATAAGTGGTAGCTTCTCATAATAGGACATTGTTCCCCTTAGGGATGGGATCTGTAGAAAGTTGTTCTTTAGGTGGTCCGAGAAGCGATCTTGCCAACGAACCCTAGCATTCTGCTTAGAAACAATTTACAAGTAAACCCCGATGCTAGGATATTTTGCTTAGGAATTATTTGAAGGTGAACCCCGATACCTGGGTACTTGATAAAAGGATAAGCCTGGTTGTGTCATTAAGAAACTGTCCTTCCCTATTATGGATATGTCCGTACGAGTATGACTGTACGTCACTGCGTGAAGCTGCAAGTCCGAGGATCACCTCTTTCTGTTTTCGTATCCTGGTTTTGCAGATGCATGGCATGCAGCTCATATGGCCAGCAGATCTGAGAAGCCATTTACTCGCAGAAGGAAAAAACACAGGCAACAAATGCAAGTCTCCTAACATGCGATTCTGAGTCTGGCGTGTGTCTAGTAAGTCGTTGGGATGCCAAAATTGATCTTTGGCAACTTGGCAATTTGGCAAGCTGGTTGTGTGAATGAGAGTTTGGTAAGGCAGTTAGGCGAGATCATGTAATACACATCCTGAGAATCCGTTATACCAGAAATTCTAGAACAATTCACTTCATTGTTCTAAATAACTTAGGTTAATAAAAACATATTAATTCATATCATCCTGACTAGATCGTATATTAAATTTAGTTGTATGAGGATTTTAGAATGATATATCAATCCAACCTACGTGTGTATAGAGCTGTCTTACTACCACTCAGAAAGTTGGCCAAAAGCAAATTTATCCTCATGAAGTCTCCGTATGCAAGCATGTATCTACCGTAACACTATAAATCCATTGTGGTCAATCAAGCAACTCTCAATATTCCTTTCATCATGTATCACGTGCTAGAAAACTACAATAGCTAAGCGATTTCTTTCTAGCGAAGAGAACTTGAGGCTCCAGCGCCGTTTTGGTGTAATCGTCACGGTGGGGGTGTTTCGAACCCAGAGGTCTGCTTCAAAAAGATGACAACTTCATATTCAGTGTTATTCCAATCCAACGCAGATTTCCATCGAGCACTTCGACTAACCCAACTCCCTCTTATATTCATGGACTGTCTCCCGCATGCGGAGTCCTACTTTTGTTTTCAGAGCTACTCAGTCAACATGGGAACATAATCTTTATCCATTTTCCATTTTACTCACAATCATCCGCACTTTCACTAGGGATTAAACAGAGAATCAATCCATATTTCCTTCTGTCAAGGCTTGTTACACAAGAAGTGGTGAAGCCAAAGTATCACATTAACTACTTTTTAAACCTGCGAGTGTTCTACTTCAGAATGACCAGTGAAGGACCCAATTATGGCATGCCAACTGACTTTCACTACATGGCATTTGCTTAGCTAGCCCTACGCCTCATAAGCAATACCATCAACAAATTTAGCTAATTATCTTACATCAACGAAATAATTATCTAAACACTTTACCACATTACTCACACCACTCATAAGGCATTGAATCGTACCGGCAGTATAAAATCTCCAGTTCTTGTACGAAGAAGGCTTTGTTTCGAAGCACGGAACCATGGACGAGTTGGTCGAAAGCTACTGTGAGAAAATGAGTCGCAAAGAAAAGAAGAAGGGGAATATCCTACTTCTGAATTTAAAACAAAGTACCGAATTCCAGACCCTCCCACTGAGGTCGAAAAGTTAAGAGAACGAGTTGAGCTTCTGGAAGACGCCATTCGTGTACCGGCCTAGGATACTTATTCCGCCGTTACCGCTGGTGCTAAGTTGCTTAAAACCTCTGCTATCCTTCAGAGAACCGTGAGCGGTTTACTCCTCGAATCGGACGCTGAGAGAAAGAGAATAACACAATCTACCACGGTTGAATGGCTGGAGAAGCAGAAGTCAATTATCAAGCAGGCCTCAAACACTTTCCGATTCTCTGTCAGTGAGAACCATCAAGCCTGGTTCGAAAAGACTGACAAGGATACTCAGCGACTTCGAAGCTCAGTTCACAGGGACATCACGGGTTCGTTTGATTTACATCCCCACAGACCAGGAACTCTTTTGCTAAAGAAATTCCGAGCCTTTTCAACCGAACGTTCAATGAGAATCGACAGTAAGTAAATTATCAACAGCAAAATCTTTCCTAAGTACAAGACATTCGGATCCTCAGAATTAAGAATTACAAAAACCACAAAGAATGCAAACACCCCATCTTACAATTGGAAATATTCAAGACTTGAACTGTTCGCCATTCTATTCCCTATGGAGTTCCCTTGGCAGACTCATCCTCCTCTTCATCCTCTGGGTATCTGTTCCACATATTGACTGGCACGGCACTCGTCCCATGATAAAAATAGAAATAATGCCATCTCCCTTTGTCAGATTTTTAGCCTCGTAGTCTTGGACATAAAAACCTCGTCGCTGAACTCGTGAAGAATACCAGTAACAGATATGAACCAGGCCTGACCTTTCAATCAGGTCGTCTGATACTCGCTGCCTCCCCAGCATCCTGATATCCCAACAGCCGAACCTTCCCACTTTCTGCCTCTTTCCACAAAGCACTTCCCATGGATCCTGTCCTTGACTCCGTGTTTATATACATACTGTAACATACACCGCTTTCTCAATTCAAATTCTAGTTTTGCCTTGTGTATTGATACTGAACTTAGAGACAAGTGAAGATAGAGACTTTTTATGCGTGTCTCTATGAAGAAACTTCAAAGCGAGTATCTCAGATTGACTACACACAGGCCTCAAGATATTAAACCTCTACCCTGAGGAGACCCACAGACACATTACGGTAAATAGACAAAAGAAGACTGGAAACACTCCTCTCAATAGTCTGTATGTATGATATATCCAGCAAAGAGCTACTTTCCCACTCGGAAAACCTCAAGTCTACCACCAAAAAACCGTAGTAGAGACATCAATACTCCAAAGAACGCGTCACAAGAAACTATTTGGAGACGTTTTACAAACCACAAAATCGCACATGCACCATGGAAAGCTGAAAACTTCGTGACCGTGTAGGTCAGCACTCAGGGTGTACACAGTATTTACCTTCTTTCTCTAGTTTATTTAGACACTGGCTTCATTACAAACAATCCATACCATTTCAAAATCCCTTGAAATCTATTACAAAAACAAAAACCTCAAATTCCCATCCGAACCTTACAGATAATTCGACACCAACCTACCTCTCAACAGCAAGGAAAAATTCGACGAACAAGGAACATTCAGATAGAATCCCACATAACGATGCTTTGTACTACCTCCTTGAGTGAAATATGGCCAAAGTGCAAATCAAGTCCGTAGAACCATTGAAATTCATTGCGTTCGAGTAAGGTTTATCCCCATCCTCCACACTGTCCGCTGACAGACGCCTCTTCTGCAAGTGCCGCCACGAAGTTCTTGACCATTCGGAGGATTGCAATATGAATGTATTATAAGGAAAGCCGAGAACGAGGGTATACGTCTATTTTACTGCTGGTGTGTTTGCGCTTATGAGCGCGTCCGATGTAGCATAATTAGCTAGGGATAATCTGGGAGGATGGGGAAGTCAATTTCAATTGTTCTTGCTATTTTCTCGCCTAATCGAAGTTCGTTGAACGGTGTCCATTTCTACTGATTTATGAGGAATAGCTTTTAGAACGCAGTCTCACCATGATGTCTCATTTAGAATCTCCTGAGTACACTGGTTGAATTTGAATTTGAATTGATATGTGTTTGTCTATTTCATAGCTTCTTTCTGGGTCCAGCAACCCAATATTATCGCAATATCACGATATCACAAGATAAAGGCTTAAACTTCATCACCATCCACCTCCAGCATCCCAAGGCCTCAAGAACCACTTCTGGTCCTCCTAGCCACGGCCCCTACAGCCACAGGCCCAAAAATCGTACAAATCACCACACCCCATATAACAACCATGAACAACTCCTCGCTGGAAGGAACTATAGTTCCATCTTTTCTGTGAAGCGTAAAGGAATTCGAAATTTGAGCAAGAGACGCTATCAGGAATCCTATTTCGCCTCTAGATACCATGGCTAGACTTATGAGGAGTGCTGTTGAGTGAGGAGGCTTTAAGACTTCTGGGGATGGGGTTAGGGATAGCGGTAGTGAGAATTGGTGTTGTGGTGCTGGAGGAGTAGGTTGGGGGGTCGATGTTGTTGCTCTGACGATAGTGGGTTGTTGAGATTCTGGAGGTGTTTGAGAGCTCATATGAATAGACTTTTGTTGATATCTTTTGAGGAAATATTCGAAATAAATGACGCTTCCGACAAGAGCTTTGCCGATGATCATCAGAATGGCGTAGATAATTCCTTTCCATAGGATGGAACTTTTGAACATCTGTGTTATAGGAATTGAGAACCCGATGGATGCCTGGAGGAGAGCTACTTGTTAGCAATCGGGACACCTTTGCACTGTGCTCATCGGCTATGGATTCACAGAAACCGCAGAAAATATTCAGAAAGACCAGAGTGACAGAAAACACTCACGAAAAAGAACGGAACAAGAACATATTCCGTCAACGGCCTAAAATAATCATGAAACAATTTCGATGCCGGCTCCAAAAGTCCATGAATCTCATCTTCAGCAACATCTCGTTGCTGGTCAGGGTGAAGTTTCCACAAGAAGCTAACCATCCCACCAGCAATGAAAGCAGCAAGAAGGACCGAAGCATTGATAAAAGTCGCAATAGTAACATAGATAATAAGTACTAAAGTAGAGAGACAAAATTCCAGGTGAGGAATTTGATAAACGAGCTTACTCATTCTTCTTTGATAGGTGGATCTTAACGCCTGAGAAGATGAGTGCCCCAGGGGTGCTCCAAGATTGGTATCTTGTGATAAGTATTTGATGATGAGTGGCCAGGTTGGCGTTGAGACAAAGTGAGCCAGAACTATGCTTATGACCATGAGACTGAAACTTGCGACGATAGGTCGAGCAATAAGCCAAGGTTTTGAAAACCCTTCTCCGAGTGTTGTTACTATGTTTACCATTACCTAGATAAATTTAGCGAACGATTGTTTGCGGCCAACAGAAATAATCCAAGAGGGAAGTAACAACATACTAAACCCACAACATCATCCATCATCGCAGCCCCAACAAGTATCGTCCCCGCTCTCGTCTTCTGCATCCCCGCCTCCCCCAAGACCACGAACGTAGTTCCCAAACTAGTCGAACATAACGCCGCACCCGCCGAAAAACCCGCAAGGGGCGTAGGCCACCACTCTCTCACACCTTCACCAAACGGGAATACTAACAGCAAAAAGCTCAAAGCAATAGGAGCAATCAGTCCAACTGTAGCAACCGAGATGCTCATACCCATACTTCTCTTTAGTGGCTTCATATCAGTTTCCAATCCCCCTTCGAAAACTAGAGCAATAAGTCCTAGATAGCCGAGGGATTGGACTGTTGATTGAGTTTCCAATGAGAGTAGTGATGTTCCGCTGATAGGGAGACCCCATATTATTCCTATGAGGATCTCAGCTACGAGACCGCAGTAGAGGAGGTGGTTGAAGATGTAGCGGGTTGTGTTGAGGAGGAGGAAGAATGATGTTAGGGAGAGGAGAGTGGTTATGGGTAGTTCGTGATAGGGGAGGTATGGCATTTTGAAAACGTTCTTTTGGGATTTCTCCTGGAGGTCAGAAAGAGGAATGGACTTTCGATGTATCTTGGAAGTTGAGAATCAGCGCCAAGTAAAATGTCAAAAACAGGGCTAGCAATTAGGAAAATATCACAAAAGATTTCTCCTATTGAGCGGAAGTCTGAATTGCTTCTTTGAGTAACAAAATAGAGTGAGCGAGGCGAGCCGAGGGGGACGAAATACTGCACCCCTGTCGTGTAAGCCTTGGCATGCTAAGATACAGGATCCCAAAATTTTCCGATAAGAGATTCCTCTCCAGCCGTGCCAGCCTTCCTGTCCTCAAAACACCACATCAAATTCAATTCCCCTCCACCACTGGCCCAAAAATGAACGCCCACGCCCTCCTAACCTCGCAAGGTTGGCGCGGAACAGGCCACTCCCTCCACCCCACCAGCGACAATACAGGCCTTTCCCGCCCGCTCCTCGTCTCGCGAAAAGACAACACCCTCGGCGTTGGCAAGAAACAGCATCGCACGAGCGACATGTGGTGGATGAACGCCTTCGACAGCTCTCTGAAGAGTCTGGATACCTCCAAGGAAGGTCAGGTGGTGCAGACGAATACAAGTGGAAGTTTGGATATGGTGAAGAAGGGAGGTGGGAAGTATGTTGGTACGGATGTGGGGAAGGGGTTGTATGCTTGTTTTGTGAGGGGGGAGTGTTTGAGTGGGACTATTGAGGAGACGAAGGTGGAGGCTGTGTCTGAAGGTGCCGAGAGTGAGGAGAGTGAGAGACCGAAGAAAAGGAGGAAGAGTGAGAGGGCTGGGGAGGAGACCAAGGAGGAGAGACGGGCGAGGAAGATTGCAAGGCGGGCGGCGCGGGCAGAGAAGACGGCTGCTAAGCAGGAGAAAGTAAAAAAGAAGGCTCAAAGGATCTCGAAATCCGAGGACGAAGTTAAAGAATCCACAGCGAAAACCGAAACGAAAGAAGAGCGCAAAGAACGAAGACGACTGAAAAAACTAGCCAAAGAAGCTGAAAAGAACTACATCACCCTGTCCGAAAAAGCGAAGAAGAAGAAGCGTCGGAAGGACTCATAATACACAAGCGCACTCATGTTAGATTTTCGTGGTTTTGGGCATGGCGTTGAGGAATAGATCACATAGATCCTGTTAACATATTTTGCTTGCTTGCTGAGAATGAAGCGTTCGCTGATGGAGAGAGAGAATTAGAATCAATTCCATCTCATGGTTCCTTTGGTATCTTTCCTGGCTTGTTTGATAGTAGCCAAGGTCTACGCTGCCAGAATTCATCCTTGATGATATCCACATGTTGCACTGCAATTCTTGCCTTGGCCCTTCTCTTTCGATCCTTTTCCTCTTGGGTCTTGGATAGTGCGACTTGTTCTGCTCCTTTTGCGAGAGCCTCTTCCTGAATTTCGGGGGCTGCACCTGGTTCCACGAGTTCGTACTGGTATTGTTAGCAATGGGGTGAACCAGAAAAGATACGAGGGATGAATCATACATCTCGAAGAACCACACTTCCTTTCTTGTAGATTTCAGGCTCATTATTATAGTTAATCTTAAACCTCTTCCACAAAATCTCATTCTTGTCCGCAGCCAAAGAGCCCTAGCCGCATTATATCAGTAGAAACCCACAGATCATCGTTTGACATCAAAACTTACAGCAAGCTCCTTCTCCGCATCCTTAGCATCTAACCCACCCTGCTGGATTAAGGCCCAAAAGGTCGTATTGTAAAGATTATTTATATGGCCTTTTACGAATTAGTCCCTTTTTCAATTCCGACATAACTTTCAGAGTATCAGGAGAGAAGGGTGACTCACAATCGACCTGTCTCCAACTCATATAATCTCTCAAATTCTTCACCGAAGGATACACCACAGCCCTCCCATCAAACCCCGGTAAGGGAACCGTCAGGGGCTGATCCGGGAAGAAGTTCCCCCATTGATGAATGTAATGTGCTGTGAAGGTAGAAACAATGGTTGTCACAAGTTTACTAAGTATTTTCCTCTTAACATCCATCTGAGCTTGAATGGCGGGGTAATTGGAGGGGTAACATACCTTGCTCTCCGTTCAAATAATGCACAGGATTTGTGGAATACGAAACTGGGCGGATCAGTAATAGTAGGATGGGTTAGAGAGATACGGAACGGAAGAAAACAGGGAGGAAGATACCTATACTCATCGCTGATCCCATACCCAATGATGATATCTGATAGATCCACCAAGACTGCCTTGGCAGCTGCGTTCATGAGATCTAGTGCTCGACGATCATTTGGTTTTTTGAAGTTGTATTTTGCTGAAAACCTACATCCCGAATCAACATCGCATCAAACGTGAACCTATTTTTCGCCACCCTGGGGGATTTGAGGCTTAAAGTACTTATGGAAACCACGGCCGTCGATGCGGACTACGATCCAGGTGTTGGGGATGAGGTGGTCGGGTTGCTCGAAGTTTTTGACGTATTCGTATCTGTTAATCGTTAGTTCATCTCCTGGGGCAAAGAAAATTTATTGTGTCTACTTGGAGTTTGCCATGTTTGTGGTGAGTGTGTTTTGTTGTTGTTTTTGTGATGGTGTTTGGTGTTGGATGACTGAGAGAGTACGTGGGGAAGCGAGGATTGCAGGGATAAGCTTGGTTGGGCGAAGACTCCTTCCTGGGTGTGAGTCCTTGTACGGCGTACTGCGAGACTTCGCTCTGCTAATGTAGCTTTGATTTAGAACTAACTGTGTTTTGAGATATTGGGAATTCTTGTCCTTTACCGTAACATTAATATATATGCCACAGATTTTGGCAACTCGGGAATTCTTGTCCTTTACCGTAACATTAATATATATACCACAGATTTTGGCAACTCCGTTTGGATAATATCTTGTGAGGGCGATTCATTGGTTAGCCACACTTGCACAGCCACTTTGCCTTGATGGACTGAGAGTGAGTGTTTACGAGGTGTTGTCTATTAACTGAATTAACTATTGGACAATTGCCTTAAGATAAATCTGGCGAGTATGAATGTTGCGCTGCTGAGCTCAGTTAAGTAGATGATTCTCGCAGTCATCGGAAAACATTGGCTAAAAAATGAGTGGCTTAACAAATACTCTACTGCTTAAGTCGTACTCGAGTACTGCTGGAGTAGAGTGGAACTGAGTTGAGTGGGGAAAATATAAAGTGGTCCGTAGAGTGGGTAGAATAAGAGTGTATTCAGGAGATGGAGTACTAGCTAGAGGTCCTAGATATTGTATAGTCTATATACTAATCCAAGAGCATGTGATATATCCCGGCTATTCACTAGTGGAGGTTTGATCAAGTAGAGTAGAGAAGTAGAATTTACTACAGAAGTACTTCTCGAGTACTTGGGGAGTAGATTAAAGTAGGAGTAGGAATCACTTGAGTAGAGTATAGGCCAATACTCTACTCCACTCCATACATTTCTTAGGCTGAATTATGCCGCAGAGTTTACCTGTCACTACTACGTATCAAGCAGAATAAACATGATTCTAAGTAGGAAGTGGTCTAGCCCAGTTATTTAATCATACCGAGAAAACTTTCAAGGAAGCTTTTAGGTATTAAAAATCTGTAATTGCTATCTGAGGCCGACTTATGGTGGAATTATCTTGACATAAGGGACATATGCCTTTTCCAGCTCAAATAACCAGTTGGCCTTATACAAAACAGTGCACGTTACATGTGATGAAGCAGTATTCCCCCATCTCCGTTGTACCGTTAGCGATCCCCTCGTTATAACATCTTTTGCAGCACTATAACATTCGTTAGCCTGTATTTCATTGCTTTTCCTTTCTTTTCGGCGAGATGGTTCCGTAGTATTAGAGGAATCCTCTTCCTCTGCAGCTATTGTAATTTCATCACGCGATCGCGCGAACACTTTGCAGTCTTCTACGTATGCGTAAATCATTTGCCCATACTCTTATATCGAGTAGAGTGTATATCATCTCTCGCTTTTGAGGTTGGAAGGGATAGAAAATATTCTACGAACATCTTCTTTGGTTTCGGGGACAGGGGTAGCGGCAGCCGTCGCAAGGAGAGCCACAAACACCGACAAGATTTGGAGCTTCATATTGATTGTAGTAAATGTGGGACGTGGTTGTTTTGCTGGTAAGCAAAGCTATCGATAATGATTAGAAGCCATAGTTGGGCAGAAGATAGAATCGTACCTTGGTAGTTTTGGTGATGATAAAGTGATAAATGCTTGTCGTTTGAGGGGGGGTCGGGGGGGAAGATCGGAAGGAAAGAGGCTTTATATATTCATGCTCTTCCATAGCAAATACGAAAGCCTATCCGAAACTCCACGTTGGAGCTTAGGATGACCATGGCAGCGGTTCTTTACACACTATGTGCTAGATAGTAAGCATTGGGTATGAGTAGTACGAAGGTTAAACAAAGATGGAAAGACCTGGAAGAGGGCTGCGGTGAGATGTGAATTAATTGGATACGGAGATACAGCGGCTTTAACTGTGCGGAATAAGTGGAATCAGTATGTAGCGGACTTTATGAATTGTATTACACCCCCTACAACCCTATCACCACAGTCTGAACTTCGAGATTTGAGCCCATCTCTATCCCAAAGTTCTCGTTTAAACCAAGACGATGGCTCCACACTACACGGCATGTAACCTTTTCTTGAAAGTAGGTACCTTTGTACCTTGTTGTTCGGGCATGTAAGTTTAGTATACGGATTCCAATTAGCTTCCGCTTACGTACCTACGTAAAGGTTAATTGAATGTTCCGATCTTTGAGTGTGGGCGACTACAGATGATTGGAAGAGTTGGCAGGGGTATGCTAGGTGGTCAACACATAAACTCGTACTACTGTAAGATAACCCTTCGTCCATGAATGGCATAAAACTGGTACTGTAGGCAGAAAGGCTAATCAGGTTTGGTCCGTAGTGATATTCCGATTTAATTGTTTTGATTGGGGAGAGGACAAAAGCAAAATCTGACTAGGCGTTCCGCTTACCAGTTTTGTGACGTCTATATACGAAAGGTTATACAGTAAGTATAATATCACTTGCTCCCCGAAGCTCTTATAGACTTACTGAAACCCGAAACATTTTAAAGTCATACACCTTACTTTCACACTCGCAGTTACGTCATGATAGTTAGCCACTTGGTAGGCAATCACTAGCAAGCAGCAGGTATGGCTTGTCTCCACCAGGGGTCGTCAGAATTCTGTGCGCAGCCCCAGATTTCAGCCGAAAACACACCAAAAACTGTGTTTTTAGAACTCTATAACTTTACAAACTTATATATAAACTATACGTAATATCTTATATATCAACTCTCTAGAGTACATAGACCAAGTGCATATGCGAGAGTTTTCTTTAGAACCTAATAGTCAAAGAGATATTCTAGTAGAGAGTTTTCTCTTACTAAATCCTCTAGTAAATCTACTATATTTATAGTTTAAGAGAGGTAGCTATTTTATTAAAATTCTGAATAGTACAAGTTAGAGCTGTCTTCTATCTTATCTTATATTATCAATTATAGAATATATAGATTATTCTTTGATTTATTATAATTTAGTAAAGTAGTACATTTTTGGTGTGTTTTCGGCCAAAATCCGAGGCTGCGTACAGAATTCTGACACCCCCTGGTGTCTCGATGGATGAGATAGCAGCCCGAATTCTCCGAATGAGGAAAATGCCAGTGTTGAAGACTATCGACTAGACGTTATTCAGTCCTTGAGATTGAATTACGAAATGCCGTAAACATCCTTTTCAAAGTTCCTTGAAACTCTCAAGGGCTTCACTCCCCTCAGAGAATTTTATACTCACAATGTTCATCGCTAGCATTAAAAATTGTACCTCGGTTGCAATGGCATAGAATCAACTGAGTAAAGAGCAAAAGTCTTTGCATATAACATTAACATCGCCTGGGTGACGGTGTGGAGAGTTCTGTGCGTAGGAACCTAATATATCTTTTATAAAAAAAAACAGTAATACTGCTTCATTTTCTTTAAGACATCCAACAACATCAGGATAATTATGCTGATTTTCAAGCACTTCTTATCTCAGATTCTCGAAGTTTTCCCCTCCCATTTTCAGATCAATACAATGCTTTAGTACTACTTCCAAATATGCTCATATATAAATAGGTCTAGGACATGTTAAGTCCAGTGAGGGCTCAGCAAATTGAAGAGCCAGGGTATTAGTCAGTATCATCTCACTCGCTCTTGTAATATTGTGCTCGCTTAGGTGAATTGCCTTCCAATGAACGGTATAAGCGGCAGTCGATAGTCCTCTCATTGCTCTACGTTTATAGAGCCTTCGGAGGGATCATTTCAAACATACAGTAATCCAGATTGTTGATTTTGACACCTAAATAACAAATTTGAAAATCACTTAAGTGTGGAACAAATGCTCGAGAAAGGAAGAACAATGGAATCCATTTCCTGTCGTTCTTTCTTTCCCTGACGGGCCTGGACATGGAGCACTTTTGAGTCAAAGTGCTTGGACATTAACCCATATCTTCCTCCTCAAAGCGTCAACTCCAAATTGGAATTGTCATCTGAGCAAATGACAACTGATCTGTCATCTTTGAAAAGTCGAACAATATGTATATGTTCTTTCCGTAACCCCAAGGAGAGGCAAATTGAATACCCCTTTCCATCTTCTAAGCCATTTATAAAACAATCACCGCAGCCAAGATTGTAGAGTTGCCGCCCCCCCAGCTGGTGAAGTATGGGGCACCATGATGAATAAACTACAATCAGCAATGAGATAGCAGATCTTTTCTCTGCCAAAAAGACTGGTGGCATTGAATGACTCAAACAACAGTAAGCGAAATATTATTAGGTCCAGGAACGAGGGCGGTATTTACCCGAGGATCGCCCGAGTGTGGGTCTTTCACCTGCTTTGAACCTTGAGCAGCGGAAGTCAACAAATCATCCATCAAACAAACACAACACCTCGAGGGTACCAAAAATGGCGACTTATGATAGCTTCCCGCTCTTCGCAACCCTGCCTTCAGAATTGCGTCTGAAAATCTGGCGTCATGCGCTCCCAGGGCCAAACGTCCTCCCTATTAGATTTTCGAAAGCGTTAGGTCGATACATGACGCCCGTACCACTTTCACCCCTCCTCAGCACAACCTCCGAATCGCGAGCGGTCTTTCTCTCTGAATATACAAACCTCATACTCTCACCTGTCTATCCGTCCTCTATATACATTGATTTCGAGCAGGATACGCTCTTCTTCGATAGTATGGAATGCAGTCCGCGGGGTGATCTGGCCTTAGATCTGGCGAGAAGTCCGTGCCGTGAGAAGATTAGAAAGGTGGCGATTCACAGTCAACTTTGGGAAGTGCTAAGGATATTTAGACATGGCGGGCTGAGTGAAATTGGTGTCTTGAGGGGACTGAGAACGTTTGCGCTGGTTTTGGTGCTGAAAGAAGAGGGCGCACATCCGACCCCTGGGAGGGAGATGATATTAGGTGACTTTGAGGAAGAGGTCATGAATGTCAATCTTCATGCGGACGATATTAGAGAGGAACTGGCGAGGGAGGATGGGGGGAGATGGGCGAGCGGGAAGGCGCCTCGTGTTACTATTTGGATTGAGAGTGAGTCGAAGGCTTGAGGCTGCGGGGTCATTATTCTGGGGTGGCGATAAGGAGATAATACCCCTTGAAGAGATATTACTCTCGATGAGACTCTTATTCGAAGCTCGGAGCTGAAGGCTGGTGGTCTTGGGACCTTCACGATCTTCCGGAAAAATGCAAGAAATAGGTTATCGCTCACTATAGATTCATTAGGAAATATTACTTTAGACGCCTGGACATTAATCAATTCTTTTTAGGACTGAGAGCAGCGAATCCGTACGAATAGCTACCATCCCGCCTCTTTCCACATTCTCTACTTTCATCACATCGTTGTTCTTGCTTATTACTGACAGATTCTTGCATGACGGTCAACGTAGAATTGATCGTCAATCACATGCATATATTTTCGACGCACCCAATCACTGCCTTGCTCTTACTCATCTAGAAAGCAGAAAGCTGTTCCCGCTACTCAGCGTGTTGAGCGCGTGCAGCTTTCCTCGCCTTTGGAAGCTTTTGTGGATCTGGCTCTTTCGTTGAGCTTTTTACAGCTCAAACCCCCAGTTTCTATGTATCAGCGGCATTGGAATTACGAGGCTCAACTCCTTGTCGTCCCACACCTCAACATACCTTCAAAAGTTTTATCGCAATCGACCGGTGAGTATTATGGCAACATCTTACAATGCGGTCGCTTGATGTACCTCCCGCAGGGCGTTCTGCCTCAGCAAAAGGAACAGGGGGTGCTCGTGGTGGTGTTCTGTCATTGGTAGACATGTGCTTACTCTACTTTGGTCTTACTTTTTAAAGGTTGTATTGATCCGCTGCTTGGAATGTGTTGTGTAGCGAGGTTTTTAATCAATCGAGTGGGCATGGGGGTCTTTGGGTTGCAATCTTTTCGATGTCTTCGCTGCTTTGATTGGATTGCTTCTTTTGTCCTTGTATGTCTAGGATCTCCGGATAAACTTTTCCCTTGGTGCCTCTTCAGCGTTGTCTTTGCAGCTAGTTCGATATAGAGACTCTGTTGGTCGAATGGACGGATAGTATTTCCTATAACATTCTCACGGTTCTGCCTACTCCATATTTAGGCTAAATCAGCTAACGAATCCTACCTAGGTGAGAGACTTTCCTAGGCAGGAAGTATACGGGGTGTTCCTTTTATTCTCCAAAAGACTTACCCAAAGTCTTCCGTGATTCAGTAACAAGTGAGAAGTTTAAAGTTGTTTATCATAACTCCGAACTTACGTTAATAGTAAGGGAAAAGGTTCACTTAAGAGCCTCCACATATATTCCACTTGTATTTCTCACACCCTCGCTTATTTGGCACTTCTGTGCCAATGCTGATCATTGAAGGTACCCCGCTTGAGATGTGGTGCATTGTCTGTTAACAGACAAATCACAACAGTATTAGTACCACACCATCCGAGGGTAAGATCCAAGGTTTCTTTCAATGTAACCCATGAAGTAGTAAAATCTGACTCAGACTAAAAGTGTGCGTCTTCTGGTCAGGCGTCAGGGTAGGCAGTTGAAAGAAAAGCGGCATGCAGCTGTTATTCTAGCCTTCCAGTGCGTTTTACCACTACTCCGTAATCTAGGTGGTCATTAAGTTGTCTTAGAACGTAGGAATGTAGAGAAAATCATCCTGAAGTATCTACTGCCGCTTTTATTCTTGTCCACAAGATGGGGCATACATGTCTCAGGCGTAGATTTCATCGTTTGGTTGGCAGCCCAATTTATAAAAACATTCTGAGAATACTTGTCTTTCTTTCGTTAACCACTCCATAATATACTTCACAATGGACCAAATCTACTTAGCTGCAGGCCTTTTCTCCTTCTGTGGTATCTTGGCATGGAGATACTATAGCAACCGCAAAAAGAGTCCTTATCCTCTCCCACCGGGACCCCCGGCTGATCCCATCATTGGGAGCATGCGATACATGCCCACAGAAAGACCAGAATTGGCTTATATAGAATGGGGGAAGAAGTATAGTAAGTGTCAACTCAGTAAAACAAAATATGGGCTATGAGATGATATCAAGGTTACTCGTAAGCTCATGTTATCTTAGACTCTGATATCCTCTACATCAATGTCCTTGGCCAATCAATGGTAATACTTAACAAAAGGGAAGATGCAGTAGAACTGCTAGATCGAAGAGGTGCAAAGTATATGGATAGACCCCCTTTACCATATTTTGATGAGTCTGTATTTATTGAACGCCGTGCCAACCTTATAACTAATTCTTGTGAAGGCTCGGGTTTGAGGGCATGGTAACTTCTGCAAACAATGGGCCATACTTCAGAAGACACCGCAAAGCTTTTCAAAATGGATTTACACAAACCAAATGCATACAATATCAGCCACTAGAAGAGAACGAAGCCCGTCAGCTCGCAATGAGGCTCATAACCGATTCTGAAAGTTGGATGGCTCAAATGGTAACGTACGTTGCTCCATGAGTGTTGTTTGTGTGGTACTTGCGCAAACTAAAACACGATGTGTCTAGTTTCTCAACGGCAATCATCGCGAATCTGGCGTATGGAATCGAAGTCAATGGAAAAGATGATGATTTTGTGAAATGGTCTGAGGGTGTTGGGAAAGGTGTTGGTGGTGGCGCGTCTGCCAGTGCAACAATGGTTGACATTTTCCCCATTAGTAAAGAACTCCATCCATTCTCAACGCCTGACTGACTCTTTGATAGTTCGAAACCTGCCCCAATGGCTTTCTATTTTCCCGTCTTTGAAGCTCGCTCGAGAGTGCAGGCCATATGTCAAAAATATTCATGAGATGCCCTTTAATATAGTCAAGGATGACATGGTAAAATCAAGGAATCCCAGGGAGAATTAGCAACTTCTAAATATACACAGGAAAAAGGGATCCAAAAGATTTCATTCATCAGGTCGCTGCTCGAGGAACGCGCCTCTGGTAAAGTAAAACCGGTTGACCAACTCAATGATTACGATATTACTAGCATTGGTGGCACAACCTACGCAGCAGGGATGGATACAGTAAGTTGAGACCACTATTTAGGTCTTCAAGATGAACTGACAAGCTTCTGAGACCTGGTCTACCACTTCTATATTCGTTCTCGGCATGATTCTCAATCCGGACACTCAACGAAAAGCACAGCAAGAGATTGATTCTATTGTTGGCACTGATAGACTTCCGACTTTCGCTGATCGCGCAAAGCTTCCCGCCGTAGAAAGAATCGTATTAGAAACGTTTAGATATAATCCAGTTCTCCCACTGAGTGAGCATGTTCTTCTTCGAAAAACCTCGTTTCTCTTAGGCAGAAAACTTCTAATTAAACGTGATATATAGACATTCCGCATAAATCCACAATGGATGACATGTTGAAAGGCTATTTCATTCCAAAAGGTAGATCACTTACCCCCATGAGCATAACCAGAAACTGACAATCCATATAGGGTATATCTATCGTTCCTGCCACCGATGCTAAGACTAACATGAAAGCAGGAGTCTAGTAATAGTAAACTCCTACGCAGTTAATCGCGACACCTCCACATATTCCTCCCCGGAATTGTTCAATCCAGACCGCTACATTCCGGTTTCCGAAGGAGGCGAAGGTGCCATTCCACCAGTTGGCCATTTTGGCTTCGGTCGTAGAATTTGTCCAGGTCAAAATCTTGGATTGAATAATGTGTGGATAGCAGTTGCGACAACACTAGCGACAATCAATATCCAAAAGAAGAAGGATAAGAATGAGAGGGAGATAGAACCCGTTGTAGAGATGACGACAGGCTTTGTTAGGTAAGTGATTTTCGAGAGAAAGGCAGTATGGTGATGATGCTTATTTTGAGTCTAGTCATCCCAAATATTTTCCTGTTGAATTTCAACCAAGGTCCGAGAGAGCGGTAGAGTTGCTTAAGAAATTGTGAATGTTTGTTGATTGTGGTTCTTTATGGGTGGCCTTTATGGGTGGTTTTTATAAGTTGGTTTTCGCCTATCGAGCTTGTGTTTACATTCGCTAGTTATATTCATATTTCTCGGCAATATTAGTGTTACATGAATATTCAAGATGATTGGACTCTGTAATATTGTTATATTGTTATATCAGTATTAGTTGTAAGTTTCTGAGAAAGATTTCAACTAGACACTTATGTGTTGGACAGATATTTGGTACCTCTCACTGTCCTAAATCTGAGAGCTGATTTACCATCATTTCAAGAGCTTACAGTAGCCAATCAACCAATCGAGTATTCCAAGATATGGTCGTCACGGAACTTAAAACATTGAAGTGCTCTTTTAGGATGGAGTGGTAATGAAGAAATCGAGAGGTATATTTACTGTTCTTTTTGATGTTCCACTAAGCTCGCTTAGTGATGTACCTGTATTTTGGTAGTTTCGTCTAGCTATTACATGGAATTTTGGTCAACTATTTTGAATACATAAGAGATCTTCCAATTTCAATATCCTAAATATGAGTCTCCCTCCTAACATGTATACTCTATATCCAGAGCGATCCAAGGGTTTCCTGTAAAGTTCGCTGGAACAGCGTAGGTGATATTGTAATAAAGATGGTTATAAATCCCATCTTGGGCTGTATAAGTCGTCGGTAGCATTTGCATTCCCAGGGCTGTCACATTGATACTCAAACAAGGAAGATGTGAGAAACCGTCAACTAAGTTTCCGGCCAATATCCATGGGGGAGGAATATTGCTGAGTAGGAATTGAAAACTGTCTGTTCCCGCCTGGGTAGTGTTGGGGTATGAGACCTCCAATCTGTTCTTGCTAGCAACCGCAGAAAGAGTTGTAGCGGTAGGGTAGAGGGAGAAGAATCCGTTGTAGGGAAACGGTGTGTGTAGAGGGTCTGAAGGCCAGTGGACGATTGCTGGGACAAACTGTTTTTTGTTCCGGATAGTGGTTTCTGTGAGTTCCTGGCCGCCGATCATGAGGTTCTTGGATAACCAGGAAGTATGTGTCCGTGTTGTGTCATTGAACAAACTCTCTCGGACGGTACGAATGATCATCCTCTCTTCAGTATCTGTTGGTGGCGTGGTGAGTTTTGCGAGCGTCTCTAGTTTGATATGATCTTTCACTGTATCGATGATAAGAGCTAGAGCGGCTCCTTGTGCAGCGTCATAGTGTAAATCCGCCTCCATCTTATTTGGAACCGGTGCTTTCTCATACCCAAACAGACCCCAAAAGCAAAGTCCAAGAACAGCAGAGTGCTGCGTCAAATCTCTGGTATTTGCGCGATCATAAGGACCAACCAAGTTTCCCAGAAAAGCATTATAATGTTCTGCAATATCATCCCAAAGAGTTGACAGCAGGTAGGGCGCATATAATGTCAATGTTGAGTTTGCAGGTCCATATTTTATCGTAGCCCCGAGAGCCCAAACATCCTCTCCGTAGTAAGTCAAAGCCGTGTATTCTCCAAAGGTTCCGTTCCCTGCATTGAAGAGCTCAACAATCTGAGTGCTTTGATCATTGGCGTAGTCAATTAGAGTTTGATTTCCTAGTTTTTCGCCAATCCACCCAATGTTTAGGGCACGCATAAGAGCTGGATTGGTGTATGTTGTGACAAGATTGTCGCCTTCAGTACCATTTCGACGCATGGCGCCAACTGCTTGGGCCTCAAGGGCTTTCATGAGGGAGGTTGTGAGAGTTTCTGGTATGAGAGTTGAGAACTCGACGAGAATTTGAATAATTTGGCTGCCGATAAATTCTCTCCAGTTGGGGTCATAAGTATTCTAGGGTTGTAGTTAGTATCACAATGAGGATATGGGGCGTGAAACTTTACATAGATTAATGGAGGGTAGAGTTCTGAGTTTGGGGTTGGAAGAGGTTCTACATAGGAAGTTAATCATTCTCTTTACTTCCTTTGGGAGGTCTTTTATTAAGCTTACGATCACCAGAATTTCTCCAATTTCCATACCAAAGACTATTATAGTCATCTGTGGCCTGATTTGCAACTCTTCGCAAATTGATTAGTATCGCTTCATATAGTGAAGACGGAACTCACAAAACTTCTAAAGCACCTAAAGCGTTTTCCAAATCCGAACCAGTGTTTCTGTGCAAGAGACCAGGAATATACCAAGCTGTAAAACGTGTTGACCATGCCCCGTTATCTGGGTAGTTTATGTACTTGTAATATGAATCGAAACGTGGGTCGTTTATCGACATGGCATAGTCGAATAGACTCTGCGCATCTTGCAGGGGAAAGAATTAATATTGATAGTCTTGTAGCTCACAAATCTCGACCTTACTTGTTGACAACCCGACGTGCTTGGTCTCTAATGCAGAAGCAGTGAACGTAGCTACGAAAGCTGGCAATAATGCCAGGAAACGCATAATTGTAATCTTCACAGACCGCCGATATTTTTAAAATAATTAGCTGAGACCGCAAGATTATCAAAAGAAACCAGCCGTTATATACATTGTTTATATGGCATTCCTTCACTGGCTCCTTATCGACCCGCAACAGAGGCATGGCAATATTTAATGGGGGTACCGAGGTCTCTTACTCAATAACAAATTACTGTTAATTATCCGTTTATCCAGGACATGGTAAGATTTTTGCACTCTGCCCAAAAGTGGATTCGGATGACCTCTGGGGATCCTGGGGCTATTGTAGTCGAACCTAGTTCAACATAGGTTTGAGCCCAAGCCTGGTAAGGCCAAATGCTTGACAACGCCGAGTTTTCCATCTCTCATCACTACTGGATTCCATGGTTCCCTAGATTGAATGAATAGACTTCAGGTCAACACTTATTCACGGAAGATCTGTGGGGAATTTTGAGTAGTTGAGATAGGGATTGGTATTCCGCACGACTTCCGAAAGGTGGGGTACAGTACAGTACAAGATACACTGACCAGCGATCAACCCCTCACTTCTCCCCTCTTTCCCTTACTATGGACAGGAAGAGGGGCCATGAACAGTTGCAGTGTCCATCAATAATGTTCTAAAAAGATGGAACGAGTGTCCCAGATGTCAGGTTGAAATCGATGTCGAAACATTTGGGGTTACGGGCCAAATTATCTCAATGTTTAGGAGATACAACAAAGAATCACCGCTTTTGTTATCATCTCTACACCCAGGATGGAGAGATTGTATTACGATAGTATCTTGACTTTATTACTCACTCTTCCAAGGCCTAAAATTTGAAAAGGGCGAGCTGGGAATAAATGAATAAAAAGTCTCTCAATCGTATGTTATTTTGTTCACTGAGTCCTTGATTCTAGTTATCGAAATGTGGGTCAAGGTTCCCATAGCTCTAAAAACCGCCCTGGACCTGTAACGTGGTACTGTACGTACTGGGAAGATAAACCTTAGACAGGATTCACTATCTCATTCTTATCTATTCACAAAGCTCGTCTCGAGTATCTAGTTTCAAGAATTTATTCTCAATACTTCTACTGCTACGATACTGGAGCAATACAAGTATTCTTTCTCTCTGTAATATATATCCAGCCCGTACGAGTAGCGTCGTTTAGCAACTATGTCGTATGTTTCTCGCCCTCTTACGCTGGACCAAATTTTAGCGGATCCGTGTAGAGAAAGGGGGTGGAAAAATGGCGGCCTGATCATATTGAATACGATTTTGGCTGTGGTACAGATTTCAAGTTACGCGACTGGCTATGATGGATCCATGATGAGTGAGTAGAACGCTCTTACAATTCAAAACAACACCAAGTGAATACTAAATACCCGAAAGATGGACTGCAATCACTAGATACATGGCAAACATACTTCAAAAATCCCACACCGGAGACTTTAGGGTTATTAAATGCAATACAAAATATTGGTCAATTGGCAGCTCTACCATTTTGTGCGATCGCTTGCGATAAATTTGGCCGAGTGGCAGTGCTACTTTTCGGGGCCTTCATAATTTTGATCGGTACAGCTTTGCAAGGTGCCGCCGCACAAAACAGCAAGTAACAAGCCCTCATATAAGCTCCTACATTTACTGATTTCCTCAAAAAGATGGAATGTTCATCGCCGCTCGTGGCATAATCGGACTTGGATTGGCTTTCAATATTACTGCAGCTCCATTATTGTTATTGGAGCTCGCATATCCCACCCAACGAGCCCCCATGGTCAGTATCTATAATGCGCTTTGGAATTCAGGTGCAATTGTAGCAGCGTGGGTTACCTATGGTACCTTCCGAATCACAGATGACTGGGCGTGGAGGATTCCTTCCATTCTTCAAGCAGTTGCTTCCCTCATCCAAATTTTCTCGTGCTTCTTTCTTGTTGAATCTCCACGTTGGCTCGTTTCTCGTGGAAAGCACGAAAAAGCCAAAGATGTTATCACGAAATATCACGCCAATGGAAACGCGGATGATCCCCTTGTAGTGCTTGAGTTGGAGGAGATATTTAGGGCTTTGGACTTCGAATTGGAAATTTCGAACAGTTCTTATATGGCATTTTTCGAGTCAAGGGGGAATCTGCATCGATTCTTTATCATCTTAGCTGTTGGATTTTTCTCGCAATGGAGTGGCAATGGGTTGATTTCATATTATCTCACCGTTGTTCTGGATTCAATTGGGATTACAGGACAGGATATGCAAACCCTCATAAACGGAATCCTTCAAATATGGGGACTGGTTACAAGCTTGTTCTTTGCTTTGTTAGTCAACAAATTTGGAAGGAGGATGCTATTCCTCGTTTCCACAATATCAGTTCTGGTAGTTTTCATAAGTAAGATACGCAGCTCCTGGATTGAAAGAAAATAGACTGACTAGGATCACAGTATGGACTGCATTAGAAGCCACATATGAGAAGCAGACTGCTAATGGAGGAACGGCTAACCCGGCAGTGGCTAAGGGAGTTTTGGTAATGATCTTTCTCTATACTCTTGCGTTCAACATCGGCTGGAATCCTCTACAGGTGACCTATGTAATCGAAATCTTACCATATCACCTTAGAGCTAAAGGCTTGGTTCTCTACAATCTCTTTGTGGCTTGCGCGCTTATATTCAATCAATACGCAAACCCAATAGCACTAGCAAAGATGACTTGGAAATGTGGGCTTCGTGTTCTTTCTGAAAATGCAAGGAAGCTAACGAAAAACCAGATTACATCGTTTATGACGTCTGGATTGCAGTTGAATTGGTGGTTGTGTATTTCTTATTTATTGAGACTGGGAACATGTCTCTAGAGCAAACAGCGGCAATTTTAGATGGAGCACCAATTGAGAAGAACCTTACTACGGAAGTTGTTAGAGCGTCGGACTTTAAAGTTGATCAGCAGATAGATAGGCGATAGCAGAACCTGCTGTGACTGAGAACAGATGAGGCCGCCATTGTTATGTATGATCGAGAATAGAACTTTCATTTGTCTAATTTCTTCGGACTAGTCGAAATGAGTTTGAAAAGTTAAGCAATTGGTATGTACTTACACTAAGTGAGATCCACGCTATATATAGTTGAAGCAATACTTGCAAACATTCGGAATTTAAGTGCTATGTAGTTACTACAGGATAATAAATAAAGCCTTCTGTCTTGAGTAAGTACAGTATGTTGACAGAATTGAATACTGTACAGTACCAAGCCGAGGTTGACCCACAGCATTTTCGACATCAGCGTCCCCCGCCCCCATCTTTGCTTCACGAACCATAATGCACACAGCAGCAATTGCTTCATTGGCAAAACTTATACGATTATACGGATACGAATAATCAACGACCATGGAACTGCCCTGTCGCAACCATTCGAATCTCCAATACCCCTACCTTCCCCTCCTTTCCCCGCTCTTCCCCGCTGCAGTATCGACAGCGATACTTCGAGTACATTCTCACTTCATCTTTCTGTTCAGGCTTCTATCAAAACTAATCTCTCTCTTACACGACCTTCGTGATGTCTTCATATCCTGCCGAGAAGCCCGATTGGTGCAACCTCGAAGTTATCCATCGAAACACACTACCCCCAAGGTCTTCATTTTTCAATCACCACACCCTTTCTGCAGCTCTATCATACAAACCAACAGAACTTGAGGCAATATATCTTAATGGTCTTTGGAAGTTTCATCACGCAAACTCTCCATATGAAGCACCTGAAGATTTCACTTCCTCGGGTTACGATGTATCTCAATGGAGCGATATCCAGGTTCCATCCATGTGGCAGATGGCAGGTTTTGGAAAACCAAGCTACTCAAATGTAGCATATCCTTTCCCGGTTGATCCCCCCTTCGGTAAGTCACTTTACGTATTAAAGTATTGTCACTGAAATGTGACCAGTTCCGTACGACAACAACCAGACAGGAAGTTACGTGAAAAAGTTCTTCGTTCCTAAACATTTCTTTGGTCAACAGATTCGAGTTCGATTTGAGGGCGTCGATTCTTCATTTCATTGTTGGTTGAATGGAAAAGAGGTTGGCTATTCTCAAGGAGCTAGAAACCCTACTGAATTTGATATCACCCAATTTGTGAAGGAAGGGGAAGAAAACACGATTTGTGTCAGGGTATACCAATTTTGCGATGGTAGCTATATCGAAGATCAAGGTGAGGCATTCGGAAAACGAACGGAACTGTCGCTTGCTAAAAGAAAAAATAATAGATCAATGGTGGTTGTCTGGCATTTTTCGCGATGTTTACCTTTTGGCTTTCCCTCAATCACACATTCAAGACGTTCACGTCATGACCACCGTTTCTGATGATTTCAACAGTGCTGTACTTGATGTCAATGTCACGGTAGAAGGGCAAGGGGATGTTGAGCTCACACTGCACAATTCTGATAAGGAAACCGTTTTACTCCAAGAAACTACACCCTTCAAATCTGATGATAAATGCGTCAAGTTCTCTATTCCATTCAAGAACCCGAAATTATGGACAGCTGAAACCCCGAATCTTTACCATTTAGTCTTAAAGCTGGGAGGCCAGTTCATCGCCCAGAAAATTGGGTTCCGGAGAGTAGAGATTAAAAAAGGTATCATCCTGGTCAATGGAAAAAGAGTTGTATTTCGAGGTGTCAACCGACACGAACATCATCCCACAAAGGGGAGATCAGTTCCTTACGAGTTCCTACGACAAGACCTATTGCTCATGAAGACACACAATATCAACGCTATCCGGACCTCTCATCAACCGAATGATACTCGCTTGTACGATCTTGCGGATGAATTGGGGTTATGGGTTATGGACGAGGCAGACCTAGAGTGCCACGGCTTCGACATAATCCACGAAAGGGCTTTGCCAGAAGAGGAACAAGCCATGAGGTTCGAAGACAAGAAACTCATTACCTACGGCCGAGCCGGTAAATGGATTTCCGACGATCTAGAGTGGGAGGAGGCGTATGTTGACAGGGCAAGGCAATTGGTTCATAGGGACAAAAATCATGCTTCGGTCGTGCTGTGGTCCCTCGGCAACGAAGGTATGTGCTTATCATGTTTTTCTTGCTCTTTCTGTATCCTTTGAGGGGTCGAGATGCTCTAAAACAGTATTTCGTTCTTGTCAATTTGTTTTGATTTTCTCAAATGCCACTGAGAATGGTAATGCTGACTCCAAGGCCTCTCACAGCATTCTACGGAAGAAACTTTCAAGCCATGTATGACTGGATTCAGACTTGCGATAAAACTCGACCAGTACACTACGAAGGAGATTTTGAATCGCAAACGACAGATATGCATTCCAAAATGTACCCGACTTTGAATGAGATGGTCAAATTTGCTGAGGATTTCAAAGACGATAAACCATTGCTCTTGTGTGAGTACATACACGCGATGGGTAACGGACCAGGAAATATCAAAGAGTATATTGACCTCTTTTACAAATACCAATGTCTTCAAGGCGGTTGGGCCTGGGAATGGGCAAACCACGGTCTGAGGACCAAAAACTCTGAAGGGGAGGATTATTATGCCTACGGTGGAGATTTTGGCGAGGTGGGTGAATTCAACTTGTTTCCCTTCCATTTGGTTAATGGACCATCACTGCAAGTGGTAATACTAACTTCCACATGTTCGACAGTATCCACACGATTCAAACTTTGGTATGATTCTTTTCTTTCGATTCTTTTGCTCCGGTGCCTATTTTAGTCGTCCCATAGAGAGTTCCTGGATATTTTAAGCGAGGATGTAAATACTAATCATCGCAGTGATGGATGGCCTTGTCGATTCACAGCACAGACCTGGACCGGGCCTTATCGAATACAAAAAGGCGATCGAACCAGTGCAATTTGTGGAAGGCACGCTCCAGAAGGTCAAGATCATTAACCGCTATGATTTTATCAACCTCGATCATTTGAGGTGTTCAGCCAAGGTCGTTGGCGACGGCTACAGCTCAACAGAAACAGCCATAACGATACCGGATGTGCTTCCCGGTCAAACGGCAGATCTGGAAATCCCATCTCTGGCCTTAGGGAATACACCTGACGAACTCTTCCTTGAGCTGAGCTTCTCGTTAAAGGTTGGTACAACGTGGGCAGAAGCAGGTCACGAAATTGCCTGGCTTCAACTTCCAGTGAAAGTAGAAAAGGCAAAGCAAGCAGAGGAAACTAAGAGCAGCTCTAAAGTGAGCATCATTAAAACGTCCCCAACAGTTCTTGAAGTCAAGGGACAAGATACAGTTTGGAAGTTTGATCTTGTCAAAGGAGGACTTATATCATGGTTAAAATCTTCAAAGGAGATTCTCCATACTGGGCCGCAACTCTCACTCTTTCGCGCCCTGATTGACAACGACAAGACCGATGGCAAAAACTGGATTGCCAAGGAGGTACCCTACGCGAAGCCACATACACGCTCAGTTACTTGGAATTCGGACTCCGATGCCGGCACAGTAACTATCAAGTGTGTGCAACGCGTCGCCCCACCGGTTCTGGAATGGTCTATCGATGCTGTAACAACCTATACATTTCACAACTCCTATGTCACTGTTCACATAACAGGAAGCCCCCAAGGCATCAATCTGCCACTCACATTGCCTAGAATTGGGCTTGAATTATCTCTTACCTCAGATTTCAATAAAACAACCTGGTATGGACGTGGACCCAGCGAGAGTTACAAAGACAAGAAGCTCTCTCAGAAATTCAGCAATTACTCCGCTGCAATCGATGATCTAGCGCCGGAATATGAATATCCACAGGAATCTGGAAACCACACCGAGACTCGGTGGGTGAGATTTGATGGTTCAACTAGCCTTACCGCCAAGTTTCTCGATTTGCCAGATGGATTTGACTTCCAGGCTTCTCATTATAATGTTATGGACGTGAATAAATCGAGACATCCTTATGAGATGAGGACATTTAAGAAGGAAGAGGTGATTGTGAGATTAGACATAGATCATCACGGCTTGGGCTCGGATAGTTGCGGTATGCCATCCCGATATTCCTTGTAACAATTGGGTGACCATGCTAATATTGTACTTATTTCCAATGTAGGACCAAAAACTCTGCCCGAATACGCACTCGAAACTCGGGACTTCGAATTCACCGTCTTGTTGAAGTAAGCTTGCTATACGATGATCACATGCATTGCAGGTTTAGGTTCCACATACAAAGCATCTAGTGCAAAACTGTTGTTGATTTCCTCGGTCCAGCCATCTCTTATAGTCAATTACTGTCTCCATCTTCAATATTTGCACTTCCCAGATGATTCGTAATTCCTCCACAAGGAAGTATGTCTTTTTGTGCTGTGTATGAATACCAGCAGGAGATCCAACCGTAAACTATCCCGAGGTTATCTCCCACAACCGAAATGCTACTCTGTACATCTATCTCCTCTAAAGTCTGTTGCGGCGGAGACATGTCATTCTGCTTCTCAGAGGGAGGAAGGTGCCATGAGGCATCAAGGGCGTGCCAATAAGCAGATACACCGAACTCAAAGGAACAACCAAATCGCCATGGAAGTCTTTATGAAGACCATAGAACTCCCGATTCGTTAGACCAATACACAGAGAATCGAGTGGATCGAGGTAGCTGAGTACAATACAAAGGACTTCAGTGGGTAGCTTGATGATGTGACAAGCCTCTGCTGCGATATTGGAGCTTTAATTAGTAAGCGGATATTTCAAGAGGCATATTGTAAGAACGATTTGGGGCGAATGGGAGTTGGTGGAGTGGTTGCCAGAAAACCTGCTAAACTTTGACAGAAGCTGGTTGGGTGGTCTCTCTGACGCTGGCTTGAGAATGCGTCTCTTCAGCCTGGGATTGATCCATGGCTAATGGCTTTGCGGGTATTGATGATTTCCTTTGTGGTAAACGTGGGAAGGTTTGTTGTTGGTATTGTGTGGGGCTGAATGGGAAGCTGTTTGAGATAATATATGCAGCTGTCGGATTTCATCACCTGGTGAATTCACTGTTTTGCAACAAAAAGCACTCTAACTACGCAATGGCTTGCGCTTCCATCGTACCTCCAGGTATGTCACGTGCGCGTAAACAAAAGCAATCAGCAGTAACAAAAGCACAAGCGAGAACAAAATGTGGATTGACGATGGATAATTCAGTCTTCTTCTCAAGCTTTTTTTGAGCTACTCGATAGGTTTTTGAGCAGGCTCCAGAGAGGAGTAAGAATAGGAGAACCCATCATCTGACAATTCACTCTTAAAGACTTTGCTCTCTTCGCTTCTCTTCTTTTATCATAAGAGTTCGAGAACAATGGTCTCGTCTAAGGAGGTCGTCTTGTATTCTTGGTCTTGGCTCCAAGTTCAATTCCTGCCCACCCAAATGGAACTGAGGTACTTCAATACTGCTCCAGCAGTACTCAGGTTGCACCAAGCACAGCCCTGCTCATTTCTCATACTGAAAGCAGTAATTGTCTTCGCTTGTGGGGTAAGCTCGAAGTTGAAGCTTTCCAGCTGTTGAAGAACTTCAAATGCCCGATCTAAACAATCTGAAAGTATGATTCATGTGGTGCGTTATTGGTACTTCGTCCCAGGCGAAATAACAATTGTAGGTTTGCTAGGTTTGCTAGGGTGACTAAGGTTCGCAACAGGGTAAAAACTCCTGAAAAATAATTCGTCTGGGATGAAGTACTTGTGAAGCATACAGTACTTTTTATGACATCAAACAGAGTTTTAGGCTGCTTAAGAGAAGAAGCTCGTGGTGGATACAAATGTACTTCTATACATATGGTTAGTGCCGAAGCGACCTAGCGAGCCACCATCCTAGGATCCATGAATTCATAAATGGAAGCAGAATGAAACCCATTTCACTTCATGATTTTCGTTGTTCAACAGTACCTCGGCATACATTATGGAACCTTTACTTACTCCACAAGACTAGGATAATTAAGTTCACAGCTTTGTAATTTCGTTTTGGAAGCGTTGGAAAATTTCTAGAAGATAAATTAGCGTTTTAAGACGGCAGTTAGGGCCCCCAATAATAACCATGGTGGCATCTTTGTTTCATTGCAACCGCCTTACCGGCACTGCACGATCCAATGCTTGGCCTTTTTCCAATTTTATATCCCTTAGGATGCCAAACTGCAAATCACACACCAAGAGCATTTTGATCCACTCTTTGTGCAAGAATACTCAAAACAAATTCAGCCTCATATTGAGAAAAAGGAAGTTTCCATAGCCGCGATCTACCGCAGTAAATCGGCGTCTATGGGATGCACAACTGGATAATTTGGCGTTTTGAAATTTTGAAATTCTGAAATCTCGAGATTTCGAACTTTTGTTCTCCCGAGATAGTAGCTACGGCATCCCGAATCTACCACTAAACCAGATGACTAAATCGCAAATCGCAAAAGTCACTATTAAGGTTATTTTGTAGGAAATCGCGAGTCGCAAATCGCAAAGTGGCTCAGGGTTAGGGTTGTATGCTAGCGCTAGAATTAAAGGTAAAACTACTCGATATAAGTAAATAAGCTTGAATTTAACTCGAACGCTCCTTCAACTCCTCCTCTTGCCCCTACACTCCACCCCGCCCCTCCTAACGGGGGTCTCCCCTAGCTAATAAATACACCTATATCCCCTCTTCTTATTATTGTTACTATCGTTAGTCGTTGTCGTAAAGAAAGAGAAGAGCAAGTAGGAGGGAGAGCAAGTAGGAGGGAGAGCAAGGAAAGGTAGGTAGCAAACAATTGTTAGCGTAATACGTGCTAGCCTAGCCATTTTAGGAAGGTAGTATTCGAGGCTAGGATAAGCGACACATACGAAAATATTTCCCCGCTTCTGTCCTCTCCGCTGCTCTCTCTCTCTCTCTCTCTCTCTCTCTCTCTCTCTCTCTCTCCCTCTCTCTCTCACTTTCTCTCTCACTCTCTCTCTCACTCTCTCTCTCACTCTCTCTCTTCTGAACGACTTACTAGGACACAACCCTTATACAATAGTAAGGGTACGATAGCGATGGAGAGTGCGATAGCGAGGGAGGGTACGAGAGTAAGGATACGACAGTGAGGGAACAGGCAGTTAGGGTGTCCACGTGAAAATGCCTAGGCACGTGAAGTCTAAGGTGGGGGTGTGGGGGTATAGGCACTCTAGCACAGTAGTAGTAAATATATGACTTTTACGATTTACGATTTGCGATTAAGTCATCTGGTTTAGCAGTAGATTCGGGATGCCGTAGTAGCCTAGCATCTAAGCTTTCGCTCGCGCCGTGGAAATTACTTCTACTTCGTAGAAGTTCCAATTACTCCGTACCTCTGCTTCTAGAAGTATCTACTTATCATATATTCATTCCCGGTTCAGCTTTTAGATTACATCATTAACCCGTACTTTTTCCCTCCTTCGTTTTCGCCAATTGTTCTTATTGTGAATTGTTGGCTACATACATAAACGCCTCGATACAAGGATATGGTCGTATTCCGATCTTTCAAGGACTTAAGCGAGGATATCCTTAGTTATCCCTACACCAACTTATACCGAGGCTCATCTACCAAGTAGGTGCAAAAGGTCTTCTGAGACCCAGAGACTCAAAGATATAATGGAGGTTTGATGGACGCTTTATTTCAAGGTTGTCTCACACTAGATTCAGTGGTTGGACAATATGTAGGAATCTTGAGTACTTCATTAGTGCTGTTATAAAATAGCACATTATAATTATTATTCGAGCATTCAGGAATCACCCTAGACAATAACATTAAATTTAACGAAGGCGTCATTTCCTTCCCCTTTTCTGAAATAAGTTTAACAACTACCACAAGCCACGCAGTGACGCAGAGGCATTGAACCTTGCAAGCCCGAATCATCCCCTTGTAGTGCACAGCCACAGGTAACGCGTAGATGACCCCGCTTTGACTTTAACCGCAGTGATTTAAGCAACTTTCCGCCAAGGTTGAGATTGCTTGTACTTATAAAGTTCACTTTCCGAGCGGTCAAGCTTAAAATAACCTTGGCTGCTACACATTTCTCACACCAGATTGTGGTATTGCTTAATATACTAGCAAGCATAACTGCATTATAAGGGATAAGCCGAATTCAAGATCAAATAAGTTTCGTATCTTCCTGGTGTATCACAGAGTAATATTAACAGAAACACGAAAAAAAGGAAACCCTCATGAACTACGAAAAGATATGAATTCCGCAGCCAGTAAAATATATACATTGCACAAACAATCTGTGATATCAAAAACTTCCCGCTACCCAATGTAAATGCAACCACAAAAGGTATCTTGTCAAAAGAGGTAAACCTCCAAAAAATGCTATCCAAACATATAGCCGAATATCAAACTCGTCTTGACTCCCAGGTCATCGTGCCAATCCTGCGATACCTAAAATACCATCCCGTGGCCGAATCCCGTAACTGAGCGCTTGTGGTTCGCGGGAAACCCTGGTGCTGGTGCAGCGCCTGCGTCCTTGGTGAAAAGGTTGGTGGCATTCTTACAAGCCACAACCATATCCCCAACTTGTTGGAGAGTGACTGGTGTTGCCTGGGGTTTGAATCCGTCTGGGAGCTTCTCGTTCGCTACGAGGACAGATTAGCACCTTGATTACCGATCAATGTATATGGAGAACTTACTAATGAAAGAGATGACTGTATCACGATCGACAGTTCTAGCTTTGATGTCTCCAAAGACTAGGAAGGGAGCTGCAATCTAAACAAAAATGAGTTAGCATTGCATTGTGGAAGGATGTCAAATAACCTTGGAATACATACCTCTCCTAGACTGAAGTTCTCGATTGAGTCGGTAAATCTATATTCTGGGTTGGTAGCTTTGGAGGTGAGTTGTCTTTGAACTTTGGCGTTGGCAATGTGTGCAGGAGTCATGACTTTGTCAGTGAAGTACATGGCGGATTGGGCGAAAATCATCGGATCAAAGACGTGGTTGTTTCCAAATTTGGCATCTTGACGACTTAAGCTTGCGTCGTGCTCGAGAACGTTGTGAACATTTAGCATATCACTTGAGTCGAGTCAGTATTTGGTAAAAGCTTTTTGCGACTGCATTTTAAAGTCTGTTTAGCGAGCTTTGACTTACAGCGTGAAGAATGTCGCATTTGGCTCTGGGTTGATGAAAATGGCCTGGTCCCACATGAGTCCAGCAAGTGCTGGGTCAAAGTTGATACCCTGTCCCAAAGCCCTGATTGCGGTTTCTCTGGTAATGTTTCGGCCGTTATGTGGTAGGAAACCGTGGTTTGCAAGAGTGTTCATCATTGGGCATGGGCCTCGGACTAAAGCGAGTTAGAAGGCATTTCAAGTTTGCATGGATATAATATCAACACTTACAATCATCAGGTCCAGCAGGCGAGAATTCTCCAGCTTTTGTGGTGACAGGAGCTCCAGGAGGAGCTGCAGCCTTGCTAACGAAAGGCCTTCCTGCACCTCTGAAAGGAGTTGCGGAGGCCACGGCAATTGCCATTGTAACGGAAAGAGTAGTAGTAAACTTCATGTTTATGTTTAAAGAAATGGTATGAGAGAGATGAGAGAGAGAGAGGAAGATATGAAATGTGAATGATAGAATGATGGTGAGTGATGATGATGGAAGGTGGCGCGGATGGAGGTATTTGTATCAACCAGATGCCTCCTATATTTCGACCCCTATATGATTACTCCGCCACAGACGCCGTCTGAATCGAAGGCCATCTAGTCTTCTGCTTCTGGCGAACATCGTGATCCGCCGGTTTCTGCCCTACCACCGTACCCAGGACCACATCGTAAAGTTCCACCAAGCGGAGGAAACGACATAGGAAAGTCAACCAATTGAAAGCTCTACATTATTACACAATTGCATGACCATCCCCGCTTTTGCAGCGGACTGCTTTAAAAAGTAACCCCACTTGGCTTCAACGTTTTTTAGGTCTGGGACGAAGTAGTTTCACCCGTTGTGGCAATCCCCTGCCGGGTAGGAAGCTTGAAACGCAAAGCGAGCTGTCATCCGAAGAACCCACACAATACGCGCACCAACCTATAGAAAATCACCATTGTAGGTAGACTCGGGGGCGTAAATGTTTGGCGCACCGAGCATCATGAAGCCTAGAAGTATAAACAGTGAACCTATTCACAATATACAAACAAACATGTTTGAGAAATACCAAGCTATACCAGGTAAATGCTAATGCGGTAAAAGCATTACAGCTGAGCCTCACCCACGACCAGTATCCGGCCCCGCGGCGGCCCAAGAACTCCTTTAGAGGTTTAAGCATGCCCGTTATTGTGTCTTTCACGTCTTGAGGTCAAGTATGGATACGTGTACGATATATCTGCCCTGTGAGGCGACGGTACTATATGCCGGGTATGGTACGAGCGCGAGCCGCAAAGTACGAGTACGATCCAGGGGCCACGAACGCTTTTGGTAAACGAATCACGGCCATTGCATTTCACACGGACGAATGTGATTCGATCGGCACTTGGAGTTGTGTGTGTACTTCCACAGTAATGGTACGTATTTGTCCATGGCGCAGCTGGTGACAGCGGCTCGGTAAACATGCGGGTAAGATGCACATCCGTGTACGAGAAATCCGCGGGGTAAATGCGAGGTAGTATTCGATTATCAAGTACGTGTACATTCATTCTCCCGGCAATTCCATCAAAGAAGTTTTCTCGATGCACACGTGGCTTGAACCTTGAATTCCAACTCTTGACAATACCCAACTACGAAGTACCTAAATGTCTGGAAGGACTGCGGGTCCCGCAGAGGTACTCAAGCTCAGGTGATTGACGTTGATTGCAAATCAAGTCTTGAAATAGTGCTTGTCATAAGTTGACTTAAGCATGTTTGATGAGAGGGTTCGTCAAATCTGTATCTTAGCGTTGAGAATATAGTGGTAGACGGCGGACCAAGACAAATCAATAAATACAAGGCAGCGGGAGTGACATCGCGACAAGACGGCGCCTTCTGAGATCAAGCGTACTTAGCTCTCAGGTTCTACGTGATGCAGAATGGTGTTAAGATGGTGGGTGCCCTGCCAAGGACCCTGTTCAGCAAGAGAGTTTCCAGGGCTGGCCCGGAACACTAAGATAACCTTCTAGAAGTAGAAGTATAAGTAAGCTTACTGGTAGCGAAAAGAGGGGACTTTGAATATTGATGCATTGGCATACCAATTACTGGGAAATTTGAGGACGCGGATGAAGTGAAAATTCAAGTTCTTGCAGAACTCGTACTGGACCTCGCTCGAGAGAACTCCCAGGTCAGTATTGACTAGTGCATCTGATATTGATGTAGACGCAAGCGGATCTTGTCCAATGCGGTTTATATCCCAGGAGTGGTTATAACCGCCAATAGGAGCTGGATAGGGTGGGGGTTCTTGCAGAATTACAGAACTCGCATGCGACCTCGCTTACAAGCCGGTATTAGTCGTTGATGTAAACCCAAACTTGACCTTTAATCTATCAGACCAACCAATGACCAAAAGCCATCGAATGAAGTTGCAAAACTACAGAGCAAGTTACTCTACATGAACCATCGATGAAGAGACCAGGTGAAACAGCCCAAATCTACGTTTACCGCCCTATACTACAGATATCGCCATTTGACCGCCAGTCACTCACGCCATTTAGTTGATGAGAGAAATCGAGCAAGCAGCTTGATTTCTCAGCTGCGGACTCCAAAGGAGAACTGCCATGAACAAAAATCACCATGCCATGCACCGCTTTTAGCGATATAAATCGGTTCTAGTTTAAAAAATTACAACGTCCCCGGCTTTCGCAAGACAAGTGCACCCCTCCGTGTGCGGCCTCTAACAATCAACTCGAACGATTTTTCAACCCAAACCTCATGGGATAAGCATTTCGGGTTATCCAGACCGAGAGGAATCCGTATAGTTGGGTATGATATGACAGCCCCCCGAGCCATTCAACAATTGAACACGTCACCAAGTGTCTTAATCCAGACAGAAATGGGACGATTCCCCGCCATCATCGAAGAAGAAAACGCCGGGAACAACATTGGCATCATCACTCTCTAAACAACTTCCCGAAGTTGCGGCACCCGCGATCGCTTCCACGGAAGTCACACAAACTGATGCAAGGAACAGGCACTGTGAACATTGAAATATCATACACATCTCACTTTACTCCTATTCTACTATCCTGATAGACGATGTATCCATCCATGCATCCATCAACCAACCATCCATCATTGCCTCCACCCCAAGAAAGGCGTAGGAAAAGATATAAAAAGAACCCCGACACCCCAACGCCATACGAAACCCAAATGGGATGCTCACCCACAACACGGGGGGGAAATGGTCCGACCTGTTCTATGTCAGGCCAAAGACAAGAAGCAGAACGCATTTGAACCATCATAAGAAGAAATAACGCCTAATAAAAAGACTCGTGACAGGCTTTTTGGAAGAAGGGGACTGGATATAAATCCCATTTCCTGTTTGCATATTTAGCTCGCCAGCGATATGCCCATTCCTCTTTTCTTCTATTGAATAAGCAGGAAGGGAGAACGCCAGCGTGTTCATTTGTTCGTCGTACTCATATCTCGCATTGCGCCCTATATTCAAGATTCCTTCGTGGAGATGAGGCAGGAATAACCTCTTCATCAAATCGTTTTCTTCCATCTCCTGCTTAGAAAATCCGGACATGAATACATGAATGAAATTAAACCCTGCCGACTCTCCCATAGTCGACACAAAGACTCCTCAAAACTTCAGGGCCTTATCATGGCAGCAGGGGGACAATCATGCTTTATAATTATAAATCGTCGCGTTCGTAGTCAATCACTCGTTCATTCAAAATGCCCCTCATTAAGAACCATTTCCAGGACGATTTGATTTGCCGGGACTTCAGGATGCGCCATTGCCAGCTTCAGGGTTCTCTTTTCCGCTCCTCCCCCGCCGCCAAATGTGACCGGCGTCATTTGACTATTTGCGGCTCCTGCGCCGAGAGGATTGATGCCATAATCCAGACATCTAACATTTTGACCAGCAATGACTTGTCTCAGCCTTCCGTTTTCGGCATTTCGTACTTCCACAAAATCGTTGTCAAAGAGAACAAGGTAAGCTCCATACATGGCTGCTTTGGCCGCTCTGCCCACAAATTCCATAATGACAGAGCGAGATACCTCACCATGTTTGTCAACATAGACGGCACACTCTTCGTATGCGAGCAAAAATTCAGAATCCGAGAGACGGAACATTCCCAAGGGCTTTTGATCGCGAAGGCGTGAAGCAATATTTCCTATAGCCGGGTTTTTGACATCCGGAATACTCATAGGAACCTTTTTATCCAATGTCATGAGCTCGAATCCTTTTAAAGTTGAGATGGCGATATAACTGTGAAATAGATTGATCGTAAAGCACTCCGTGGGAATATAGAACTCATCGTACTCGCGGAAGAACTCGGTTGTGCCGCCTTTAAGTTTGCCGAAGAGTCGAGACTTTTTCTCGGTGGACTTTTGGAAGACTGGTTCAAGAACCTTGAACGTAGAGTGAAGCCCTTCCCTCTTCTTGTAGAAGACCAGGGTCCTGTCTTTCATGCGAGCCGTCGCGAAGAAAGATACGTCCCGATTTCCAGAAAGCTTTTGTGGTGCTTTCCGACCAGAGTCGTGCTGCGGTGCTGGAAAGTTGGAGACTGGTACAATTACATCCAGATGATATGCGATGAGAGCTTTGTCAGAGATGATTATGCACAGGGAAAACTCTTCAAGGACCGCAATCTGAGTGACCTTGGCTATTTGGATCGACTGATGACATTAGCATTAATCTACGGCGATGCTGGGTCTGTACTTACTCTTGACCAGCCCCTAGGGTTGGTTGCTTCCGAGATATAAACGCCATAGTCCGTGCCGATCGCTACCATAGCTTTCCCAAAGCAGTTGAAAGCTGTGGCACAGTTGACTTGGGCTCTGCAAACTGGCCCGGGGCGAGGGCCTGCTCCATATGTTCGTTCCATATCACGTATTGATCTCTCCAGGGGCGTACCCTTGACAAATACGACATTGCTCCGAGTAGCTCCAGCTAAGGCGTCATTTCCAAAGGCGGTATCAGCCATAACTCGCAATCTGAAAGGCTCCGCACTCTGCTCATACAGGGAAGCAGCGTGGCGAGTTTTTGCTTCCAAGATCTTGTCACACCAATCCTGCCGATTCGCGGCACTTGGGGCATAAAGCGTGTATACTTCATTTTTGCCCAGATGTTTGACTCGGAAAGGATACATGTACCTAGCGTCTGTACCGTTGGCGTTTGTGGGATTAAGTTTAGTTACTGACGTCATGGTCTGTACGGAGGTGTTTGACGTCGTGTGCTCCAGAGGTCTCATAACCTCGCCATTTGTAGTTGTTATGCGTGTTAAGTGATTCGGCGCACCAGCTTGCCCTGGTCTCGCAGAAACAGTGACAGCACCAATGGCCCGAACCGTCTTAACAACAGGATCATCATTTGAACTTTCGAGGACAAGGAGCTGCATTGGAATTGGCTAAGACTGTAAGTTGTGATATTCGTTTCTTCGCTGATGATTGACTTACAAGTTTCGAGACATCGTAAACTTCCCTCTTCCTGCCTGTGTTCTCACGCTGTTCCATCTTCTTCGAGAGCACGAGATAGTGATCGAAAAGAATAGTGTGCGTTTCGACCCAGTTGAATTTGTTTACACCAGCACGCTGAAGGTCACCCTTGAATATGAGTTCTCGACCAAGGTGATCCAGGTTCAACTCAACTCTCTCCATGCCGGGACGTAGATGAAGTTTTGACTGTAACTCTACCATTTCGACCTTTTTAGTCTGCTCATTAACTTTGGCATCACACTCATGGGTAACTTGCTTTATCTCTTCAATGGCTTTGGCAAGGTTAGTTTTTTCCTCACTATCTTTCTTCATGTTCTTGTATATGGTGTCCAACAACAGACCATATCGCTGGAGCCTAGTAATCGGCGCTTTCAAGTATGTGTCCCAATCTAAACGACTCGAGAGCTTGTTCTCGCGAGCCTGGTCCAAGAATTGGCGGAATAGCAAGTTTTTGTCAGCTTCCCTTCGAACAAGGTAGGTGGCGAATGGGAAACCTGCTGCATACTCGATGTATGCTGTCCTGGCCTTTCTTATCCATTCTCGGAAAATGTCGCTATAGCCGACTACCCATGGACCTTGTTCTTTTTGTCGATATTTGAGTTGCGGTAGAAGATGATTTTCGTTCACTTCCTTGATGCTTTCAACTTTGCCAAAGACGCTTGCAATGAATTTTGGTAGCTTAGATTTTGCAATAATTGGAGGTTGCCATGTAGCCAGATGGTCTCTGTACAAAACTCGCAGAACATTAATATGCTCCATGTAGAGATCTTCAGACATGACAATTTCGTGCAAATTGTTCTGAAGCTCTACGTCTTTCTTGGACACAGATTCAATCTGTTCTTTTGTCATTTTGAAGAAAGTCACCCAGTCCTCGGTCTTTTTGGATGGCTCGAGAACTTGTGCGTTGAGATTTATCTTTTTTAGCGTGCGGGTACAGTGGTGCGAATAGCATCGCCCAGGAACCTCATGTTCATGCACCTTTGGAGAATAGCAGCCGGAACCGGTGAGCTGCCACAACACACCAGATACAGAGCCCTGACCAAGCTTAACCCACTCCTCATCCGGAACCAGAATTCCGGCCGCGAGCATTGTTTTGATCACTCTCTGACTCAACGTTTCCGCGTCGGCAGTGTTCATCGTGGGGACTTTGTGAGTGAAGAGAGAGACCAATCCCTCTTCAATGGCCTTTTCTCTTAGATCAGATTCTCCTTCCCCAGTTTCACCACCAGCCATTTCTCTGATCCATGCTGCGATATCACTCAATGCCCAAGGTTCATGACACCTCTTAAAGTCTTGAGATGAAAGCTTCGCAAGACCAAACTTCTTACGTCTGCCAGCCGGTAAAGCGGGCAAATCCAAGGCGACGGAAGATTGGGGGGTGCCCGTGTCATAGCCATCGAGACCATTTGCGCCACGCATTCCCATCCTTGCGGCTTTCTGCCTGGCTTGACGTTCCTCTGCATCAGTCTTTGACCGGGTCGGCGGAACGGTATGGGGAGTGCTACTGTGGCTAGACAACGACGTCGACCTCGGAACGAACTGGCCACCAGGACTAAGCATGTTTTGAGGGGGGTAAGAATCTGGACCATTTGGAGCATACGAAGGTCGACTCATATCTGAACTTGAACTATAAGAATGCTGTAGGCCTTGGGTATTACGATAAGTGCCTGCTGGCATGAGTTGTGGGGTTCGATTCTCTGACATTGGCGGCACAGGAAGTGGGCGATTCAAGTTTGAATTGTACAAGCTTGTACTGATTCCTGGGTGGTAGAACAATTCAGGCATGTCGTCTCTAGTAGGGCTATCACTTCCGCTCAATCGGGAATCTCTCAACTGAAGCGAGTGTTCATCACCCTCATCAAAGCTAAGTCGATGTGGCTGTGATGATGGTCTCTGTAACCCACCAGTTCCGGAAGTATCAACCCTTGCTGTAGTGTCAAAGGCCGGAAAGGGATGAATAGCACCCTCCCCTGGGATAGAATAGTCCGTCATTCCACCAAGTCCCGAAGTAGTCGTATTGTAGCTATCCGTTGTCCCTAGATCATGGGGAGTAGGCAGCGGTCGACTCTGATCTTCCATCTCGCTGCTGTTACCGGTATTCATGCCAGCCAACTCGTGGCCATATGACATACGTGCGGGATACCCGCCTCCCACAAGACTCAGATCTTGGTGCTTGTAATCGCTATCACTACTTTCACCACCTGAGAGGGGGTATTTGGATTCTTGCCCGCCGGATCCTCCAAAACTCAATGGGCCTCCACCTCGCTCTTGTTCTTCGGCTATTCGCATAGCTTCTAGACCAGCTGCGGCTTCGAGATCACTTTCTTCTTCATCTTCGTAATCACCGTAGGTGGATCGAAGATTGTTAGGGTTTATATTCGACGCTGTTGATGCGTAGCGATCAAGTCCTGAAGTTGCGCCTGCACTTGCTCTTGAACCATAGCGGCTAATACCGTGGTGAAACTCGCCATCAAGTAAGTCGCCGTTGCTTCGAGCATGCCGAGGAGATGAAGCCCCAAGTGCATCCCCAATATCAGCAAAGAGTTGTTCTTGCGACACGTCTTCCTCCGATTCGTTTTGGCCATGGTTGTCTAGTCCCCAATCATCATTATCACCCCTCGGCTCGGCAGGTGCGCTTGGAAGTGGTCGGAGGGTTGGATGCCTTCCTAGTGAAGCTGTGGCATGGTGGTTTGCGGTGCTCCTCAACCTGTTCACTGCTTCATCATCGTAAGATCCATATTGTGAATAATCGGGATATTGAGCTTGGGTGGTTGAAGCTGGCCTACGGTCAATTTGATTAAAATTACCTCCATTTGTAGGATAAGGGATAGTGGTGGGAAGCTGGTAAGATGGCTGGGAGGGGGAAGTGGGATTGTGAACAGAGTATGTTGGGCTGGAGATGGGGTTCTCGTACATTGTCTGCGGAGAAGGTCGGCTTGGAGGGGAGGAGTATTGCTGCTGTGGGGTAGGAGGGTAATACCCCGTAGACTGTGGTACTTGTGGCATTGATATTGGTTGAGTATATTGCTGGTTGTACGAGCCGTGACCCGATACTGTGGCATGGCGCATTGGCTGTTGAGTCGGAGCTTGGTATGCAGCTGGATTGTACGGTTGATGAGCGGTTGAGGGTGTTGGGGGAGTGTTATTATATGCTGGTTGCGGCCGATGGGAAACTGACTGCGACTGCGCACGAGCAAACTGCTGTGGACTATACGGCAATCCAGGAGAGGTTGGAGTAGAACCTGTGGGGAAAGGTTGGTATTGATGTTGATATCCTGATAACGCCGGACTGGCACTTCCAAAAGAGCTTCGGCCTGGAGAACGAGAGCTCTGCGAATGGGAAGTAGGACTCGCTAGGTAACGTTCTTCCTGTGGCATGGCCACCGGCGCTGCCATCCTTCCTGGGGGCGCGGGAGTTGGAGGCAGGCCACCCTGATACCTGTTTGGTTGCTCGAAATAGGGCGCATCGTCGCCGTTGTCAAAGCTGGACTGGCGATGTAAACTTGACGCCGAATTATGGTGGTTATGCGCGCCAGGCGCCCCGTACTGTGCGGGAGGCACATGGCCGTACCGTCTTTGCGACATGACGACGGCAGTTGAGGGAGAAGGGAATGAGAAGCGATCAGAATATGGATGCGATGCAAGCGTCTAGTGCGTGGTTCCGAGCCCAAGCGTGTCGGTCGTGGTTACGAAGGCTCGTCTGTACATTTGCATTTGCGTTTGCGAGCCGCGTGCGCCAAACAATCAACCATATGAGTGCGAGTGAGTGTCCTGCGAAATCCGTAGAAAAGACGTGTCCGAGTACCAAGCAACCCCGCCAGTTTCCAAACTTCCACTCTCCCGGTCGATGGACTTGCTTCCGCTGATGGCCTGGGTGGTCGCAAGACCGCGAGGGGTGGTGTTGCGTGGTTGGTGATGCAATATGCGAACGTGGGAGACTGGACGAGGTGTTCTGGAATCTTGACTCTCGTCTTTGGTCTTGTCGGACTGGCTCCTGGTCAGATTTCAATTCGGGCCCACGTTGATCGGCAACACGCGCCTCTCTTTGCGACGAAGGGCTGAGGCGACCCGTGGCCGGGGCGGGAGTTATAGGACGTCGTGAGGACTTTGAGACGCCGATACGCTGGATGAGCGGTGACAGGAATCGGGAGTTGGATCTGATGGAGCATGGGCAGACGCAAAGTTGGGCTGAGTAGGCCGAGGCTGGTCGCGGAGATGCTGTACTGTATGTCCTTGCGGGTATGTAGCTGAGAGGTCGACTCTTGGCACCTCGTCCTGACCAACACTCACTTCAGGTTAGGTGAGGTGTTGATATACGAGGGCAAAGGACGTGTGCAAGGTGCAAGGCGGCGTATGAAAGTAAGCAGCAAGTTTCATTTCTGACATGAAAGAGTTCTGTTTCTCCGATACTTATATAAGAGAAACTGTATGAATTGATTTTTCTTTTGTGACTATTTACTCCTACTACCGTTGGTTCCTGTATTCTCCCTCCTGGACCAAAATGTAACAGATAATCTAAGCCCCTTCATAACATATCTGAGGACTTACCTATATTCATTTGATCTTGTAAAGATGATATCTCAACGGTTTTAAATGATTTGAACGCTCAGCTTAGGCTCAGCATTTATATATTACATATATAGCTTGCAGAAAAATCTACGACATTTGACACATTGCCGCTTTTCATATACACGCCCGCAGAAAGCTGCTTGGGCTTCAATGATCATATGGTCTGTAACTCGGAATGAAACGAAACATATGAAAAACAGTTCTAACGTCTGACAACAAGTACATTTCTTTTGAAGCTTCAAGTTCGGATGAGGAGGCGATGGTAGGTTGGGCTCCACTAGACTCAAGAGGTTGTAGATGGTTCAGTTTCTAGCAGGGGTGGATCGGGCAAAGAACCACCAGCACTAGATAGTTACGTAAGCACCTCGCTTATCAGACGCTAAGGCCCTGCCACAAATGCACACATTCTGGTATTTTCGAAAAGAAGCTAAAGACATATTCGACAATTCGACAACTACCCACGAATTCATCTCCATAGCACAGGAGATACATTCAAGATGCCTACAGAAGCTGGTCACCGCCGTAAGTTTTTTCCCGCGTTGAAAATGATCGAGGGAAGGGCAACCTACATGCGCGACCGTCGAGGAGACGCACGCTGTATTTGCGCATTCCCTCGAGGATACAGTCAAACCCACTGAACAATTGCTGACCATTTCCTCTAGTCTATGTCAAGTGAGTACATCCCGTTCCCGACCGAGAGATCGCATCAAACCACATTTTTGGATTCGGACAGGTCCCGCGGAGGAGGAGGGAACAGAAATGGCGGTGGGGGGAGTGGAATGCGACAGGACTCGATTGTCGAAAGATGTGGAGAAGACGATTGAGATGGAATTAAGGGATTCGTTCTGACACCAATATTCATAGGGGTCGCCACCTCAGCTACCAACGTGGAAAGCGCAACACCAACCCAGGTACCAGCTTGATCAAGATTGAGGGCGTTGATGATACCAAAGCCGCCAAGTAGGTCAATCGCCAAATGATGGAAGGAGGAAAATTCTAACAGAGTACAGCTTCTACCTTGGAAAGAAGGTTGCTTTCGTTTACCGTGCGCAAAGAGAGGTCAGAGGATCAAAGATCAGAGTTATTTGGGGCAAAGTTACCAGACCACACGGTATGTTCAAATTCCAGATCCCGAACCACTGCAAAACTGATCAATTGGTTCAGGCAACTCCGGCGTAGTACGAGCACAATTCAGACGCAACCTTCCTCCCAAGTCCTTCGGCGCATCAGTTAGAGTTATGCTGTACCCATCCTCAATATAATCAAAGAGGCATGGTTTCGGAAATTTGGAGTTGGTTCGCGTGGGATGCAAGGTGGTTTGATGGCATGTCACAAATTCGGTCTCTAAGGTTGGGGCAGCGATAAATGCATGGCCTTGCTGGTAGCATACGAATAAAAGAAATACCAACCAAGGAGGGACATTTTTGAAAGCCAGTGAAAATAGAAGTGATGGTAAGGAGATGCGCTGTATTATGGTAATGGTTGGGAAGCGGGACTCAATAACGATTATGCCTTTATGGCTGGAAATTGTGAATTGAAATCATAGCTTCGATTTCATTGTCCAAAATGAGTGATTGACAAGTCCAGAAGTCGAAATGCCCAAGTCCAGCTAGGTACCAAGCAAGCCAGTATGCATCTTCCAGGCCACTGATTCCGGATCCAATTGGCTACTTTACGGGTTCGGGGCACATGCTCCCGCAATGGACAACTAGTACAACCGTCAACTGGAGCCAAGAGATATTGTATTAAAAACTAACCAACTACTTTATCCTTCATTCTTTGCCCAAGTCCTTGAATTCTATAATCTCGGGTTGTTTATCTGATAAGCCTTTCTAAACAGTTAGTGGTATCATGGGTCACGCCAGACTCCCGAAACAACAAAAACAATTACGGCCTCTTGAATAGTAATGTCCCTACGGTGTTTATGTAGGTGCGCATTCTTTAGATGCTACCGGCTACCTAGATATTATTGACCCCTCAGCTCTCTTCAACCTCCCGATTATTGGGAACACGGATCAAATATCCCAGTGCACCACCAATCAGTCCTGCGCGAGGGATCTTTGTTTCAAGACCCTTTTACGCTTACGGATCCCTGGCTCGGATGCGAGGGGTTACTGGATGGGAATGGGAAACATATGATTGTTTTGGAAACGGTGAGAGCATGGGAGTGGTGAGATGTTTCGTTTGAGGTGTACTCCGTGGATTTTTCTTTTTTGTTGTCCCCTTTTCTTTTTGATTCCTCGGAAGGTTGTCAAGGAGGTTTTTGGACTGGTTCTAGAATCGTAATCCTTTGGCTTTGTATAGTACATGTGTTGAGGGAATGTGATGGAACCTAGACCTGGAACCTCTCCTGCTGTAGGAGGGAAGGGGTCGTGTTGTTTGCTTGTAAAACATGGACGAGGCATTTGGTCCTGCAGATACTGTTGCTGATGGTCCGCCCTTTTGCTCTTGTTTAACTTATTGGTGTTAAGGTTGTTCTTATTATTGTTGTTCGCACAGATGTTTCTGGAAGATGTTTATTGATCCTTCTGCTTCCTGATGAGACTCTAGGTGTGTTACACTGGTTAGCCGATCCAGTTACCGAGGTCGGTTCTGATCTGGATGGAGATTTCGATGTTGGTGTGTGGCATGATTCTGGGTCTTATCAGCCTTTTGCTTCGAGATGTCATCGTGCTTGCATCTGGTATTGACTTTGTGGCACCAGGCACCACCACTTGTTTGGAGGTCCCAAGTGGAGCTGATTTGAGCTGAGTTGTGGCTTAGAGTTTCGATGTTGGATGAGATATCTTTGAAGTTGTTCTTTTGAATCTGAAAATATCCTTGGATATCGCATCTCTTGGTAGCCCAACTTTGAAGGAACATAAGAAAGTATCAAAAAGAAGTTATAGATAGCTTTATCAGTTGTATTCTCATTCAGAGGGATTCCGCCAGAATCGGAGGTCAGGAAGGAGTGATACCTGCACACGTGATTGATGATGTCTTCACTGCTTTGTAAAGTTTTACCCCTCCCGACCCGCCAATTCCGAAGGGGCCCCGCTTCAAATTCAAGCTCCCACTCTTTCCTCTTGCTCTCTCAACTTCCACTTCTACAATTCATTGACAACCATCTTCTCTTTCCAAATCTAAGTACTCCACACCACACAATCCGTCAAAATGGTCAAAGCAGGTACCTATCCCCTTCCACCTTTCATCGGCAATCTATTCTGCATCCGTAGAATCCATGCACAACTCAATCCGCGTGCTGTGTTCCAAACCGCGGGGTCCGGCAAGTGCCAATATGAGCAAGATTCGAACGTTTGCAGCTTTTGGCTCTGGCTCTAGCCACGACCTTGATGGATACCATACGTATCCTCTTCCATGCAGACTATCCTAGTGCAGAGTCCTTGCTCTTGTTTACGTTGGGCTGGCTCGTAGTGTTTACAAATCTATAGTTGCTACTATCCGGGGAGACACCAAGATTGCCGGAACCGTCACTTTCGAGCAGGAGTCGGAATCTTCCCCAACAACCATCTCATGGAACATCACCGGCCACGATGCCAATGCTGAGCGTGGCATGCACGTTCACCAATTTGGAGATAACACCAATGGTTGCACATCCGCTGGTCCTCACTGTATGTTGCACTTTTGATTTCTCCCGATGGCGGATACGTTACAAGAATCACTTGCTGATGATGGATTGGATAGTCAACCCACACGGAAAGACACACGGTGCTCCTACCGATGAAACCCGTCACGTAGGTGACCTGGGTAACTTCAAGACCGACGCACAAGGAAACGGTGTTGGATCAACTACAGACAAGCTCATCAAGTTGATTGGTCCTGAAAGTGTTATTGGCGTATGTGGAATACAATCATGTAACACAAGGAAATACTGACAATAGATAGCGTACCGTTGTTGTTCACGCTGGAACTGATGATCTCGGAAAGGGAGAGAACGAGGAGTCCAAGAAGACCGGAAACGCCGGTGGTCGCCCTGCTTGCGGTATGTTTCCACTCACTCTATACATATGTGCTCATTTACTGATATTGGGCTACAGGTGTCATTGGTATTGCCGCATAAGCACCTCAGCCAGATTGAGATACACCATCATAGTTTCGATCTTCTGAATGTTACAAATTGATTTTGCCGGAAACATTTTCGTAGCGGCGTGCGTACGCACGTAGGAGATAGGTCAAGTCTATCAGTCCCATTACAAGAACCAATGATCCCTCAATTGACTGAACGTCTTTCATGCGAACCAAGTGATATACCATTTTGACAAGCGCCACTACTCGATACAAGATATAACTTCCTATCTAGTGATCTTCTGAAGTTTTCTATTGCTTAATTCAAATGTGCTAGATATCAATTTGGCAAACCTTTGAAGATAATACTTGGCTTCGCTGGTTGATTTTTGATACTAAGCAGATCGACCAACAGAACAAAAATCTTAGATGGCCATGCTTGTTTGATTGCGAAAGGTATTGATTTGTACAGCAGAAGGATCTTGCTCAGATGTTTACAGTCCTTCAGGGTCGTCACATGTGATTCATGGACTAGTGAAGTATGTATGGTGACGGAGGGGCTGTTTTACTGATCCACTAGCGTAGCTAACCAAACTCCTCGCTCGTCCACGGTGACAGGGCAGGAATTTTATAACAAATGGCTTCAGGATCAGAGTTCTCGTTGTTTGGTTCTTGATATCTTTCTGGCAATACTCTACAAAATGACCCAGATCGTGAAAATACTGTGGTTATGGCGTCAAATTCTATTCAGGCGATGTCATTGGCTGTGTTGCAAGAAGGGCTCAACATTGGCCTCCAAAGGTAGGATTCACTACCGTTTTCATAGTGAATTTTCGAGGGAAAGGAGGACCCGTCACAGTTCGGCATGCATTCCACCTCTTCTCCACTATAAATCACGCTCCCCATCATATCTCAAGCGACCATATTTCATCACCACCTCTTGCTTCCATCTCTCAAGGATTTCAAGATGCGATTCGGTCGACAGCTTTACCAGAATATTATCCCTGAGTGGATGGAATCCTACACCAATTACTACCTCCTAAAGAAGGTATTCAAAATTGCTGTGAAGGAAAGTTACGAGAGGGGAACCGCCCCCAATTTCACAAGTAAGTAACGGCGGAACTTAATTTTGATGTTTCAAGGCTAACCTTACTATAGTATTGTATAATGACCTCAATTCCGATATCAAGGACGTGGATACTTTTTATTTGACCAAGTACACTTTGGTACAAGAAAAGGCCGCTGTAATCTTCGACCAGTATGGCTGGACTTCGCTCAAAGACGCTACTTTACACCGCGTGGAGCCTTTTGAAGCAACCGATATCTTAGCCGCGTACCTGGAACTCCTGGTTGACTTGAAGAAATTGCGCTGGTTTGGTAAAGTTAACCGGGATGGCTATCGCTGTTTGCTACGCAAGCTTGAGAGATTCTCCGCTTTTCCTGCCGGCTTTGATCTCACTCGGTTTCATTTTGTGAACCAGACGGGGATTCTGCGGGATATAGAGCAGGTTAATGACTCTATCCAATACCTCCATCGACTAGCTCTTAAATTTCGAGCCTCTGAGCTTCCGCTCTTCTCGGTCGAGCACTTGGCTGAACGGCTCAATGTATCGCCATCTGTTTTGACAAATCTCCAAAGTGCCATCGAAAACGACGATCCTTTAGAATTTGATGCAATACTACTCACTTTCACTTCCAAGTCTACTTTAGAGGAGGTCCGGTCCTTGCAAGGCGCATTGCTACAACTTTTCATAACAAAATCATCCAAGAACTGTGTTAGACGTTTGCGCCATAGAATCAAAAACGATACAACCGAAGGTCGACATAATACCCTCCATAGAATCATCGTACTTAGAGGTCGTGAGAGAGACATGCATCGGAACAAATATCAACTAGAACCGCTCCAAGGACCTCCAGTAAGCAACACTGAAATCCAAAGCACCTCATCGATCATGGCTTTTGTTCTAGACGCCTTAGAGCCCCATCAACGAGACTTACTGCTCGAAAAAGACAAACTCGGTCGGATACCATTACATTATGCTGCACATTACGGCTTAGAGGAAGAATTTGTTACCATTATCGAACATATGCAAGACTGGGGATTACTCTCTTACACACCAAGCTTCTTCCACAATCAACTTGAAGATATCGAACGGCACACACCTCTCTCTTTAGCTGTCCTCAACGGAAGCCTTACCATTGTACAATCCATATTAAGGATCCATGCTTCGTCAAGCATTGCGACCACAGCCTTGAGCAAAATCATACACATCGTAGCCACATCTGGGTTCAAGGAAATCACTCGTCTGCTAATTGGCGCGCCACTTGCGAACCTCAACTATCGGCAATCTTGCGGCGAGACTTCTTTGTTTCTCGCTGCACAGTCGGGTAATGAAGAATGTGTGGAGCTTTTGATCAAGGCTGCTCCTGGGAAGAAATTGGATCTGGATATCCCGGGAACGGCTTATGCTTGGACGCCTTTGATTGCAGCTTGTGTCAGGAATCACTTTACGATTGCCGAGATGTTGGTGAAAGCTGGGGCTGACCAGACTCATCGTGATGTATTTGGCTGGACTGCAAAAGATCGTGAGTACCATCCCTGATATCCTGTCGTTTTGTTTTTACTTTTGCCTGTTTAGTCCGCTCTGTTATCAAATTAAGCGAGGTTCCATTTAGATAGATTTGCTGGAAACCATCATCACTAACCCGATCACCATCTAGATATCGACTTCCGAGGATTCTGGCCCATAGCTACACTCCTCACAAGCACTCCACTACGCTACCCACCCTGCATCCCCAAAGCCCCACTGCCCAAAACAAACGCCCTCCCTCCCTGCGCAAGCCACGAGTACCGAATCTTCCTCAACCTAGGAACATTGAATACCCGCGATCCCAAAGAGATCCTCGACATGAACACCTATCTCTCCCGCTATCCCCACACTCCCTACCCGAGACGGGCTTTTCTATAAGCGTCGAAGCGAGCAATGGGATCGGAGCGAGCGGTCTCGTATCCATGCCTCTTTTGGATGATGCGACGAATTACCCGTTTGTTTTCACCGTCCAAGACCCTCGGACCACGAATCTCGTGTTCAAGATTTATGAGGAGAGTTCGTTGGAAGATAGGTACAGACATATAGGCAGCGCCGTTGGGATCATCGAGAGTCTCAAATGCGGGTTGGGGACGGAAAGAGAGAGCTTGGTGAGGAATTATACGATACCCATTTTAGGCAAGGAGAGCTTGGATTTTTTGGGGACGGTGACTTTTGATTTTCTGCTGGTGAGACCGTTTCCGATTTTTGGTTCTCGTTCTACTGCTTCGAAGGGGATCTGGGAGGAAGGTGGTACTGCTGTTGTTGGTCATAGAGGTGAGTTCTTCTACTGTAGTATGTACAGTACTTGTTGTTCTAAAGTGGTGGCAGGTTTGGGACAAAATAGCCCTGCATTCAAGAGATTGCAGATTGGCGAGAATACCATACAGGTATGAAGAGGGTATTGCTTCCGGTCAGGTTTCGCTAATACGACGAAGTCGTTTTTGAGCACTGTTAACCTGGGTGTTTCATACATCGAGGTGAGATTTATTCTACCTTGATTCTCGATTGAATCTAAGATTACTGATATCTCACAGTGCGGTATGCAATATGCTTATTAGTGTGTTCTTCCGGCTAAGACTTTAGTAGACGTGCAGTTGACAAGAGATCACGTTCCAGTAATCTATCATGATTTTCTAGTTAACGAAAGTGGTGCAGACCTGGCTCCGCATAACCTTAGTCATGATCAGGTATATCAATCCCACCTGCTCTATTCCAACTCCACATTGACACCTCTATTCAGTTCATGTACATCAGCAACATCCAAAGTCCCTCTGTCACCTCACCGACGGGAGTTAAGCCAAACCTACCAAGACCTCGATCCAAATCACTCGAGCTACTGGAAGATAGTAAAATCCGGGATTTTGTGGACCGCATGAGAGGAACCCACCACTTCAAAAAGAAAGGATTCAAAGGCAATCTTCGCGGCGATTACATACATAGTCCCTTCACCACACTCGAAGAAGTCCTCATTAAGATCCCCGAGAACATCGGAATAGACATAGAACTCAGTAAGCACTCCCCCCTCCCTCCTCCCAAAAAAGAAAAACCACACCCTAAAAGATCCCAGAATACCCCATGCTCTAGGAAGCTCAGGACTGGAAAATGGACCTCCACGGCCCCTCACTAAACACCATCCTCGACACCATCCTTACCACCGTCCACAAATTCAGCCATAACAGAACCCTAGTATTCACCTCCTTCAGCCCCGAACTCTGCATCCTCGCCGCACACAAACAAGATACATACCCCGTCATGTTCCTCAACGAATCGAATCTCTTCCCCACGGGCGACGTGCGAGCAGGTAACCTCCAAGAAGCGCTGCATTTTGCGCGTCGCTGGGGGTCACAGGGGATTGTCATGTCGAGCGAGCCGTTTGTGATGTGTCCGGCGTTCGTGGGGTGGGTGAGGGAGTGTGGGTTGGTTTGTGTTTTGTTTGGGGGGTTGAATGATGAGGTTGGGAATGCTTTGGTATGTTGGACCTATGGACATAGCCTCCTTCGTGTTTCTCTGATGAAAATTTCTTCCTGGAAATTTGCACACTCAAACCCCATCCCTCTTTATTCCCAGAAAGCAAGATAACAAAGCTAACACGTCGAAATTCAGATCCAAGCAAAAGCCGGTCTCAACGCGATAATCGTCGACAATGTAAATCTAATCAAGACCACCCTCTCAAAGGAAGGCTTCGCTTAGGATCTTGGCATTCGCAAGGGTACTCAGCTTTCTGAATTGGTTTCTTTAGATTAGGTTTTAGGCATCGTTTGGAATGAATCTATTGGGTTTGAGTGAAATGAAACTGCACTGTTATGCTGTGGCTAGAACATCACTCTTGATTTAGACGGCAGGGTGGCTGGATGATTATAGGTTGGTTATATTATAGATCTTTGGGAAGTGGGGAATTTACATCCTGTTTCGTCATATATATAAAGTAGCTACTACTAAAGATTTACATACATACTTACCAATCTTCCAACAACAAGCCCCCTAAGAACCAACACCCTACTTACCCACAGCACTTCACTCACCCACTCCGCCTACAGCCTCCAACACCAACCAAAACAGAACCCCCCAACTCACGAACCATCCATCATCCATCCGTACAGCAGAAACAGGGGGGACTCGCTTAAAAACACACACCACACAGAGCCAAAACAAACACCCCACCCCATCCATCCTATTCTCAACCCACCCACTCACCCCTCTATGCACATGACCCCCCC